CAATTCTCCTGGAGTTGCGGGTGCTTATGGGCGGCGGTAATCACTTACCATCAGGTGAGCTGCATGCTCGTTTGTCCCCTGTGTTATAAAAAAAAAAGTCAATGGCATATACTAACGGAATTCCCAATCACACTGTGAAAATATGCATAAATATATAATGTAATAATTCTTAAGGAAAATCAACATGAAAGTGTTTAGTGGCTCGCTGAGGGAAGATGTTGGTTTTCCTTAACTAACTGGTTTGGTTACATCCTACGTCACGTGGGAGGCGCGGATGACGTGTTCAGTAACACTACGTCCATGCAATGCAATCTATACATACATATAAATAAAATTGGAGTGTCCGTTTGTAATATTGAAATAACCGTTTTTTACTACATGCATATGAATACGGTACATACACCAAAATAACATTTTTTACCATTTTTGTCTGGCTGTCTGTCTGTTTGTCCGGGCTAATCTCTGAAATGGCTGGACCGATTTTGATGGGATTTTTTTGGCAGGTAGCTAAGCTAAGTAGCTAAGTGACTTAGGCTACTTTTATTTTAGAAAAATGAAGTTAAATACCACGCGGACGAAGTCACGAGAACTAGTTGGATATATAAACAGATACAAGAAAGTGTCCAAAATTATGGCCGAATTTGTCACTTGAAATAAAAACTACACACAATTTTTTTAAAAATTATAAATATTCGGTATTCTAGATAATCACTATTTCCTATATATCTAATCTAAATAATTGCGCTCGCAGTTAACGGCTATTACAAAATTCGTTTAGTTATTCTTGCTATCGCATGAGTATATTTGTATACCTACATATAAACACATATATTATGTGCAACACGCGGCGCATATTGGTGTTAAATATGTGTAGATATTTACTATTTGCATATTTTATTATTTATATGCTACATTATATATAGCATATCTAAATATATATAACTCAAAGGCGACTGACATAGTGATCTATCAATGCACAGCCCAAACTACTGGACGGATCGGGCTGAAATTTGGCATGCAGGTAGATGTTATGACGTAGGCATCCGCTAAGAAAGGATTTTGATTAATTCTACCCCCTAGGGGATAAAATAGGGGATGACAGTTTGTATGAAACTTTGTCAATTTTAAACCGATCGGGCTGAGACTTTGCATGCATAAAGCTACTATGACGTAGGTATCCCCTAAGAAAGGATTTTGATAAATTCCATCCCTAAGGGGAAAAATCAACGCGTGTGAAACCGCGGGCAAAAGCTAGTAAATTATAAATTGCTATAATAATTAAAATTAGGTAGTTTGATGATTATTTAATTTAAGTCTTATCCGCGATTTCGTCTGTTTTTTTATATAAATGACAATCTTTGTTTGTGGTCTTGCAACCTATCTCTGCGTCAAGTTTTATTAAGATCCGTTCAGCCATTCAACATACATCCATAACGTTCACGATGTATTATGCTTTATTCACATCATACAAGGATAGATAATATGTCTATCTGTTTGTTCTTCCTAATCTCTAAAACGGCCAGACCGATTTTGCCAAGACTTTCACTCTCGGATAAAATTAACGTTATAGATAAGGAATAACTTAAACCCAAGTTTTATTTTACTATATAAATTTATCCTAAGCTTCTACCAATTAACTTTTTTTCATTATATTTTTCATTTAATTTAGTTTCAAATAAATCAGAATGTAATTCACACACATATACTCTTATGTTATATATTTGATTTACTGAGATTTTAATGTTATTATATCTATATTAACATTACTTATAATCTAATTGTACAACTAAGAACCTAAAATTAAAAAGCTTAAAAAAATATAATATGATGACTAAAATATATTATTAAAAGGGGTCCCTTTAGGCAACGTTCCGAAGATACTGGCAGCGTTCCCTCTTTGAATGGCTAGACTAATTCTTTGTCAAATTGTACCTTTGTTTATACTAGTTATGTTAACATCCGAGATATCATCTCAATAACGTACTACTTTTCATTTTTCTATCAAAATTCATGCAAAATTAATGTGATGCTGCTTTCAACACGAAAGTGTGAACATAACTGACTATTTCTCTTTAATTTAATTTAATTTGAACATTAACTTATCTGATAGTTCGCCAGATGGAAAGTGATATTATGTCGCCATTATAAAAAAAAATAGACTTGGACAATTTACACAAGAATAAAATATTAACAACAACTTTATTTTGTCATATATAATGGTCAGTACTGAACAGTTTCTGCAAGCAAAAAACCTGCAGGAATTTGTTGGTATAGTAGAAAGATGTAGGTAACATAATCCGGTGTCCTAGGTTCAAACTACAGTCGTAGAATATTGTATAGTTCAGACTTAAACATAAGATGGGAAGACCCAGAATGAGATATAGTGGCTGAGAGCTGATCAGTCCCTGCAAGCAAAAAATCTGCAGGAATTTGTTGGTGTAGTAGAAAGATGTAGGTAACAAAATCCGGTGTCCTAGATTCAAACTACACATCGATGTTTGAACTTAGGACACCGTAGATATAGTTATAGTTCAGTAGATATAGTTTAGACTTGTTCAGGTTGCGAACACTGATTAGAATTTTTTGTTTTTTTTTCGATAGCATATGCTGGTGGTCACTATTCTCCCAAATTTGAATTTAAATGAAATAGTATTATTGTAAATATATACAACATTAAAAAAAAACGAGCTGAGTTTCTTGTCAGTTCTTCTCATCTCGAAATCATTCCGAACTGACGGTAGATTTGACATATCATAAGAGTCTGTAATAGACCTACATGAATAAAGATATTTTGAATTTGAATTTGAATTTGACTTAAAAATAAGATGGGAAGACCCAGAATATCAGATATAGCGGCTGAGAGCGGATCAGTCCCTGCAACCAAAAAACCTGCTGTAGGTAACAAAATCCGGTGTCCTAGGTTCAAACTACTCATCGTTGTTTGAACCTAGAACACCGTAGATGTAGTTATAGTTCAGTAGATATAGTTTAGACTTAAAAATAATATGGTAAAACACAGAATATCCGAAGTTGTGGTAAATCTTACGCAAGGTGGCAGCCATCTACGCTGCGCAATCCTGTCATACTCGCGCAGTGAAAGCGAGTGTTACACAACGTGCCTATGATGCTTATATTTGCCAATTTACTTGCACTAAAACTGATTCACTGTCTATAAAAGCTTGTTAAAGATCTTGTGTTTAATATTGTTGTAGCTATTGGACTGTAAATACTGACTGAATATAAATCTTCTAGAATAAGTCTCCTAGGAAAAGAATATATATATATACATATAGCTGTCCCGGCAAACGTTGTTTTGCCATATAAATTAATAACGCTATAAAAAAATAGGAATTGATGATAGAAGGGTGAAAATTTAGGATTGTATGTTGTATCATAAAAAAATATAAAACTAAAAATTTTGTCTAAAAAAGAAAATATAAAAATATAGGACTTTTTAGGAACAGACAAAAATTGTAAAAAATGTTATTTTGGTGAATATACCATATTTATATTTATATGCATGTAGTGAAAAACGGTTTTTTTAATATTACAAACAGACACTCCAATTAATTATATCTATAATACATGTACACCCGTACGCAACTGGGGTAGCGAGTTAGCTATAAAAAAGAAACAGATGTAGAAATATGAACTGCCTATGTTATGTTCCAGAAGTTCTGCAACATTTTCTTTTGTAGGTTAAAATAATTTTCAGTACCCAATTCCTTTGTAACTCCAAGCTTATCTGATAACAAATTGTAGGTTATTTTGACAATTATTATTTGTTTTATGAATATTCATGATCTTGTTAAGTTGTTATCTTTAAATTGCACAAACAGATATGCGTAACGAGTTATGTCTGCCGCCATTGTAACTGCAGATTCCGTTTTCCTTATGGCTGTTTTGACTAGAGTCGTTATAAATGTTTTATAATCATTAAAAAAGTAATTTCACATACAAAACGTACAAATATCTATGACTTTAGTCTAAAGATCTTTGCCTGTTTAATATTTAAAAAGGAGATGGATGAAAAAAAATGTGTGTCTTACTAATATTATAAACGTGAAAGTTTGTGAGTATATCACGCAAAAACTACTGAACGGATTTTTATGAAACTTCACAGTAATATAGCTTATACATCAGAATGACATATAGGCTATAAATTTCATGCAGCAGAAATCGCGGGCACAGCTAGTTAATGTTTAATATTATAAACGAGAAATTTTGTGAGTATGGATGGAAGTTTGTTACTCTTTCACGCAAAAACTACTGAACGGATTTTAATGAAACTTTACAGTAATATAGCTTATATATCAGAATAACATATAGGCTGTAAATTTCACGCGACAGAGCTAGTGACTTTATAATGTAGTTTAAATAACGCGTAATGCCTTTTTATGTTATTTTATTATAATTTAGGTAAGAAAATAGTGATACAAGAAACTTGACGCTCATAAGTGACTAAAATGTAAATGTAATGTAAAGGTACACGAATAAATATATTTGATTTCATTTGATTATATCCTTTCTGATATCAATACAATATTGAAATATTTGAGTTGTATAAAGTAGTTATTTTGTTTTTCTTTCAGTAAAAGAAAAACAAAGGAATTTGTCTATGGTTGTGTACACAGATGAAGTATAACTTACTGCATCGTTGTTGAACTCATTGTTTATTGTATGAAATAATAACTACATACGTATGATATTTATTATGTTTGTTCTGTATGTATTATATATTTAAATGTGATGTTAATACAATTTACGAGTATATTTCCAACTGAGTTTATACGCAGGTTCACATATTGGAGTATATTTACTTCAATATCTGTCTATCCACGTGTTTCTAAACTAAAGGAGCATGCTCATATAGCACACCACTGTACGACCGATAGTCGCGGGTTCGATTCCTTACAAGGTCATTATAATGACCTGTATGAAGGAAAAAATACTCATTAATTTTATCTGTTCTAAATTACGATATTTCTGTTCAATTACAGTTTCTCAAACAATGGACCACACGATGGATCATTCTATGCACATGGCGCCAGCTATGGACATGATGCCCAACCACGGCGACCACGACCACGACAACGACCACGGCTGCGACCCCAGCCATCACCACGCTATGGTGGTGAGTGCATTTATCACCATCTCTCTCTTTGATCATCGCACAGCTGGCCATCAACAGGGAATTAATTCCCACACGCTGGAACCTACAGATCTCGGACAGTGCGGTGTCAGAGCTTCCTCCTGCGTACTTAGACTGTGGAATGAACTACCTGCCGAGGTTTTCTCGAGAGACTACAGCATGGGATTTTCAAGAAGGGTATATTAAGGTTTCTTAATGGTCGGCAACGCGCACGTGACACCCATGGTGTTTCAGGCGTCCATAGGCTACGGTAACTGTTTACCATTAGATACGCTTTATTGTTTGCCACCATCGTAGTATAAAAAAAACATCTTCTTAGCTTCTTCCTTATCCCATTTATTTGTGGTAGTCGTAATATGTTTTTCTCTTCCATACATCCCTGTTCGTAGTCATATCGTTTTCACACAGCTTCTACCATATAATCTTTCACACAGCTTGTGTTATGAGTACTAGATAACTGATACATATAGATAGATATTTTTTTTCGTAAATACATACATATTATACATACAAAACACCCAGACCGATACAAACAATCATACTCTTGAATAGAAATGTTTGTGCCGTGCGAGGAATCGAACCCGCGACCATCGTAAAGCGGTGTAACCGCTAGACCACCGAGGTCGTCAAATACCTTTATATTTATTGTAATAATAGGTAGGTAAGTCGATCGGAATGTAATTATTTAGAGCTATATTTCGGTTGTAAGTATTACTATCGTGCTTGGGTGGACGAACATACATATATATGTAATAACAATATAACATACACATATATAAAATAATAATATATAACATAGATATGCAACATAGTAGATAATTAAACCACATGCGGTTATGGTAACAATGACCACTATCAAATAACTTTTAACAATCTAATATCTCTCGAACAGTCTATGGGCTACCATCACATTGGCCTGATGCTTGATTGCGACCTTAGTGGTACCACAGATAAGATAATCTATACATATAAATAAAATTTGAGTGTCTGTTTGTAATATTGAAATAACCGTTTTTTACTACATGCATATGAATATATATACGGTACATATACCAAAATAACATTTTTTATAATTTTTGTCTGTCAGTCTGCCTGTTTGTTCCGGCTAATCACTGAAATGGCTGGACCGATTTTGACGGGACTTTTTATGACAGGTAGCTGATGTAATAAGGAGTAACTTAGGCTACTTTTATTTTAGAAAAATAAAGTTATACTCCACGCGAACGAAGTAGCGGGAACAGCTAATATTATATTTATAAAATTGTATTTTTGGAGAGACTTATTTAGGTAAAACTTAATAATAATATCCAGATAATAGATCGACAGCTTCAGTGGTCTAGAAGTTTAGCACAGTACTTTACTTCCGATGGTCGCGGATTCTATTCAACGCACCGACAAATATTCCTATACATTTCCATGTATAGAAATAGAACTGAAACCCTTGGCGGGCTCTGAAACTCATATGACCTCTCGTGGGCCTGACATGTGGCACTTAAACCTGACAATGACGACACAGCGCCTGAGCCACAATAATGTCTGCGTGAATTGACCACTAGCTTACCCCAGCTGATAAGACTACGGCTATATGGATATATGTCTCCCAACAAGGTGGGGACGTGAGATTTAGAACAGCTCCCTTCCCCTCACAACTGCTGCCCTGTGTAGAAACGGACACCCCACATACATATGTAATTATAAATGATGACTAAAATATATTATTAAAAGGGGTCCCTTTAGGCAACGTTCCGAAGATACTTGCAGCGTTCCCTCTTTGAATAGCTAGACTAATTCTTTGTCCAAGGTAGCTGCCAGCTCTTCGGTCTTCTGTGATGTAAAATATTTAATTTTATAAATTTTAAAGTATTAATATCAGTTGTCTAGTACCCACAACACACATCATCATCATCATCATCATCGCAGCCCGGAAGACGTCCACTGCTGGACATAGGCCTCCCCCAAAGATCTCCACGACGATCGGTCCTGCGCTGCTCGCATCCAATGCCTTCCAGCGATCTTGACCAGATCGTCGGTCCACCTTGCTGGAGGCCTTCTCACGCTGCGTCTTCCGGTCCGTGGTCGCCACTGCCATCTGTCCTACGAGCTATGTGCCCTGCCCATTGCCACTTCAGAGTCGCAATTCTTTGGGCTATGTCGGTCACTCTGGTTCTTCTGCGGATCTCCTCATTTCTGATTCGATCACGCAGAAGCTACACAAGCTGTCCTTAATTTGGGATTAGATGGCGATAATTTCGACCAGTATTAGTATAATTTTGTAGGCCACTTCTACGAGGACCCATTAGCAAAGGCAGTAAACAAATGGTGACATACCAGCGCGTTGTTTAACAAAACATTTAAAGAATTGTGTCTGTGTGTCAAGCCTGTTTGCGATTGCAATGGATCGCGCGTCGCTTCCTGCGACAACCACACCGATCAGGGTTGCCAACCGTATCAGAATACTTTTTTAATCTGTGGAAAATCTTCTAAAGATTGTCCCTCGATAGTTGGCTGTACAATCTTTTTTTAATCTGTGGAAACATCTTTTAAAGACCGTCCCCCGACAGAAGTATTTATTAAAAGGGGGTTTTTGGGATTCTTATCCATTAAAATACCACACAGTGTAGGTACCTACGAGCACCATTGCCAGAGTCAGGAGATGGCGTTTGCATAAACACCTCGGCTCCGGTGGCCTTGACCCGCCCTGGAGATGATATAGGACTATATAGGTCGCCCTAACATCGAGATAGGTCGTCCCTATCTCGATGTTAGGGCGACCTATATAGGGGGAACCCTATCTCGTTGTTAGGGCGACCTATCTCGCCCTACTCAATTGTGAAAGCATATTATGTGTACGCGCACGCCTCCAGGTCATTTAACTGGGGCAACATTCTAATTAGATAAATAAAGAATACATTTTGCAAGCCACCAAAAAACCGACTTTATTATTAACAATAACTCAAAAACATTTTTGTTCAAATCTTGATCAAAGTTAAAATTTAGGATCACATAGTTTATTTTTACTATTCTAATGCTGTTGGCCGCAGATGGCCTTTACAGCTTCACCGGACGATAGGGGGCGAGTGCAGATGGCACTCCAAACCCGCGGAAGGATATATGGAGCGGCTGAAGGCGAACTCCCGCCTGACGGATGAAGGATCACATGTGACCCACTACTGAACAGTAGTGGGTCACATGTGATCCTTCATCCGTTGTGTTGAGATTGAGGGCAGACGTTCTCGCGGTCGATCATCAACGAGATGACATTATAAAAACAGCTACAGACCAATCCATTCTACAATGTTCTCGTAAAGCCAAGAATAGCAGATAAAGGCAAATTGCGAGGAGCTCTGTCGCCAAGGAGCACAACGAAGAGATATCATCTTAAAAGCCACGACCCCTCTGCCAAGAGTGAATGATTGTAGAAGAAAAGATGACCCATAAGCTTTCAACAAAATGGTGAAAAAAGTTCTAAGGTCGAAAAAATCTTATCGAATTCAGGGCGTCTTCTTTTGAAGTCAATTGATTACATACACACCTCATAACATCATCTCATACATATATATAGCTACAAGAAGCGGTTCCCAACACCCTGTATTCCAAGTAAGCATTTTTAATAAAACAATTGCAATTGTTGCCGATATCAGATCGTAATGTGAATGTATTATGCACTATAACTGATAAATCTATTGGAACGTGTACTGCCCTTTAATTGGCTACATACCTAAGGGTATGTACCTTATAGTGGATAGAAATTGTTTTAATGGAGCTGGAGGTGCACTGGAATTTAGGATAGATCTGATCTCATCTTACTATCCTACTAATATTATCAACGCGGAAGTTTGTGAGTTTGGATGAAAAATGGATGGATGGATGATGGATGCTAATTCACGCAAAAATGACTGGATTTTAATAAAACTTTACATCTATTTAGCTTACATATCAGAATAACAAAGACAGGTAAGTCTTTTAAATTATGAATGAACACAGCTAGTTCATTCATAATTTAAAAGCCACTCTCTTGTCGGTGAAGCTCTTGCCACTTCCCACTAACTTCCATTATCTATCCTCTTTATATGTTGGTACGACACGACTCCAATTTTATCTATAATTTGGTTGATGTAACTTTGGTCTAATTCAATAATGATCTTCATAAATTCACCGTGCCGTATCAAGGTAACAATGTTTTCCCTCGACTATTATCGCCCTTTTCTTGCTTTATCTTCCTTCTCCAACACCATATTTGGAAAGCCACCAGTTTGTCCATTTTTCTTTTGAGTCAATGTCCACGTCTTGTAGGCATACAAAGCTATAGTCCAAATATAGGTCTTAATAAGTCGATTCCCAGAGCTCTTAGATATCACGCGTCCTATACATAAATAAATAAAATTGGAGTGTCTGTTTGTAATATTAAAATAACCGTTTTTTCGTAAATATAAATACGGTATATACACCAAATTTACCACCATTTTTATATCTGTCTGTTTGTTCCAGCTAATCTCTGAAATGGTTGAACCGATTTTGACGGGACTTTTTTGGCAGGCAGCTGATGTAATAAGGAGTAACTCAGGCTACTTTTATTTTAGAAAACTATTAAGTTAAACTCCACGCGGGCGAAGTCGCGGGTACAGCTACAGTTATATATATGTAGTCAGTTATAGGCTAATTTTTCTCGGGAGAAACTTGTACGAGTTTAGATGAGAGAAGTAATTTTTGTACGCTACATTTTATTTCTCTGTCAGATTTGCTTCAAACTTTTCAGAATTACTGTTCATCTTTACTTGTTCAAATTATTAACCGGGTCTTAACACGAACTAATTTTATGGCAAATAAAGGTATTTACCTCTCTCGACGTTTCGACTAGGTTGCACTAGCCGTGGTCACGAGCTGACTGGAGTAGCAGCGATGTCAATGTTACATCAGTCAATGAATATTAAACACGAAAGTCTAAAAATAATCAATCATCTTTACGTAGTTTATAGCATACAGATATTCGTATTAAAACTTCATTTAACTATATTAATAGCAGGTAACAATCGCATATTAACCTACATTGTTTTCTAATTCCAGTTCCACGCATGCGTGTGCCAAGAGATCCTGTTCAAAGGCTGGATGACCACAAACACTTTGGAGATGTTCGGCTCTTGTGTGGCGATCTTCTTAGCAGCCGTGCTGTACGAAGGTCTCAAGTACTACAGGGAGGCGCTACACTCCCGCGCCACGACCGCCACGGCTGACTCCAGGGTCAATATCACTAAGAATGAGTGTGGAGCTGGTGGGAACTGCGGCGGGCCTGTTGTTGTCAAGTAAGTTTAGTAGAAATAGAAATAGAAATAATCTTTATTCAAATAAACTCATTACAAGCACTTTTGAATAGTCATATTTTGATTCTACCACTCATTTGGAATGCAGATTCATCACAAGAAGAATGAGCAAGAAACTTGTGTGTTGCTCTTTTTAATAGATGTTTTTTTTTATATAAATAATTACAGTGTAACAAGTAAGAGGCATGCGATAATCAACATAGAAATCGCTACGCACTCATTATTAGTGTAATCAAATAATATTGTCAGTGCTATGTATTTAAAATTTTTCTACAAAAACATTGTTATCGTTAACGAATTCTTCAATTTTATAGTAAGCTTTTTTGCAAAGGAAGTGTTTTATTTGACATTTAAATCTTTTTTCTGGCAGATTTATAACATACAGATAGTATATTTTATACCCAGTTATCCGGAATCAGAGCACGGGCTTTTTGTGACTGGGTGGCATATATTCTGAAGATCTTAATGGAATATGGCAATTAGGGTAGAATTAACTGTTAATGTTATATTATCTGAATAGACGCACACTAAGTGTGTTTGTATCTAACTCATGAATACAAATGTTTGTATCTTGCAAGTGACCATCGGAAGTGAAGCGGTGTGCTAAACCGCTAGAACATCGGGGCCGGAATCTCTTAATGGAATATGACAATTAACTGTTAATGTTAATCTGAATAGACGCACACTAAGTGTATTTGTAACTAACTCATGAATACAAATGTTTGTATCTTGCAAGTGACCATCGGAAGTGAAGCGGTGTGCTAAACCGCTAGAACATTGGGCCGGAATCTCTTAATGGAATATGGCAATTAACTGTTAATGTTATATTATCTGAATAGACGCACACTAAGTGTGTTTGTATCTAACTCATGAATACAAATGTTTGTATCTTGCAAGTGACCATCGGAAGTGAAGCGGTGTGCTAAACCGCTAGAACATCGGGCCGGAATCTCTTAATGGAATATGGCAATTAACTGTTAATGTTATATTATCTGAATAGACGGACACTAAGTGTGTTTGTAACTAACTCATGAATACAAATGTTTGTATCTTGCAAGTGACCATCGGAAGTGAAGCGGTGTGCTAAACCGCTAGAACATCGGGGCCGGAATCTCTTAATGGAATATGGCAATTAACTGTTAATGTTATATTATCTGAATAGACGCACACTAAGTGTGTTTGTATCTAACTCATGAATACAAATGTTTGTATCTTGCAAGTGACCATCGGAAGTGAAGCGGTGTGCTAAACCGCTAGAACATCGGGGCCGGAATCTCTTAATGGAATATGGCAATTAACTGTTAATGTTATATTATCTGAATAGACGCACACTAAGTGTGTTTGTATCTAACTCATGAATACAAATGTTTGTATCTTGCAAGTGACCATCGGAAGTGAAGCGGTGTGCTAAACCGCTAGAACATCGGGCCGGAATCTCTTAATGGAATATGGCAATTAGAGTCGAATTAACTGCTAAAGTTATATTATCTGTGCTATTAAGCAGAGTAGAGTGGCTAGGGTCCCGCATCCGAGATGACAATTTTTTTAAATATTTTCAATTCATAAATGAAATGAAAATATTTCAAAAAATTTACATTGTGTGTGTGTGTGTGTTCATTCTTTTTATAAACTTTATATTTTTTTTATCTATTTTTTATATGTCATTTTTGACGAACTAATATTGTTTAGTTACTTCTCGCTGTGAGCCCTTTTGGAAAGAATACACATTTTTACTAGTATTTGGTTTTTATTAAAATAGTAGTTGTGTTCCCACTCCAGTAACATATGTTATATATATTTAAAAATTTTTGAAATTTTTCAATTCATAAATGAAATGAAAATATTTCAAAAAATTTTTATTGTGTGTGTGTTCATTTCATTTATGTTATATACATTTACATTTTTTTAAATATTTTCAATTCATAAATGAATTGAAAATATTTAAAAAAATTGTCATTGTGTGTGTGTGTGTGTGTATGTTCATTTCATTTATGAAATGAAAATATTTCAAAAAATTGTCACCTGTTGTAGTCACAGGATCGCAATGACAGTCCACCACGACTCCGGAGACGGTGGTTTCAGTCCGTTTGTACGTAGCCTTCGCGCCTTGCCCCTACGGCCAAAGGGCCGTAAAACAAAGTAAAGACTTTGTTTTTGGTGCTTAACCCATGAGAATCTTGCGTATTCCCGCGCGCCACCTTCTCAATTTGTCTAGCAGAAGTTCTTGTTTCAAACTAGATTAATAAAATTAAATTCTATAGGGTTATTAACTTATTGATTACCAACAATCAGTTATCCGGGATTATCGTGTCTTTAAAAGATAGCATCATGTTTTTTTCATAAATAGTGTTTGGTTGTATTTTTTTTTCATGGTTTAACATTACTTTATTCGTTTTATTAACGGAACTTGATGTCCGTAGTCGCCGTTGATTGGGAACGTTTAAAGTTGTCTTTTTAAAGTGGCGCCCTTAAGATACAGTGGTTATTATAAGGGCGCCACTTTAAAAAGACATTCTGAGTCATTAGATGGCAATAATAATAGCCTATGTATGTCCATCCTTGTCAGATATCTAAGCATCTTCTCTTAATTTAATATTCATTCAGATCATTAAGATCCTTTCAGCCGTTTTGTCATGAAATTGTAACAAACTGACAGACACATTTTCTTAATTTAGATCACCAGCACCATTAGCTAAAAAAGATTCTCCACATTTTGCTTCAGATATCTGATCACAACCGAAAGGTTCCATTCGAAGTTACTTAAAAGTAATCTATATCTTCTTTCTCCACAGATATTCTATGCTATCCGGCAGTCACATAGTCCAGACGGGTCTGCACGTGGTGCAGGCGACTTCCTCCTACATCCTGATGCTGATATTCATGACGTACAACGTGTGGCCATGCCTGGCTCTGGTACTCGGCCTGGGAGTCGGATATTTCTTCTTTGGCTGGAGGAAAAGCACCGTCGTGGACGCCAATGAGCATTGTCAATGATTAGCACTGTTCTTCTCAAAGAAATTTAAATGGCAAAAGTCTAGATTAAAGGTTCTTGTGATAATATCTTTGTCTATATTGGTGGAAGGGCAAATTAGGTCATGACTTCGTGGAAAGTGATAATCATGGCCCCTATATATATAATAATAATCACCATCTTTATTTGTCTCCAATAATAAAGTATTACAATTGCTGCTTATATAATTTAGAAGCCTATTGCTCACTAAACGATTATTTGAATAATGAGCGTGCATGGCAATAGTTGTTCATGCACGGGATTTTCATTTAACATAGACACCTACATAAATATACATTGTAAATAGACTGGCTTTTAAAAAATAAGTAATTCAATTGAGTTTCATGCCAGTTCTTCTCAATTGGATCTATATACTAACTGGACGGTATGGAATAAACTGTAATATAAAAAATTTTACGATCATAAGCGGCTAAAATGTGTTACATGAATAAATTATTTTTTAATCGAATTGAATAGAAGTGTTAACAGAGACAAAACGGTCTATAACTCAGAGGGGGCAGTGAGTCCATCCTCTATGCTATTTTGTTATACCTTTTTTGTAAATTAATACAATATGAATTCGACAACGCATTTAAGTACAAAACTGTCCTATACTAATAAAGTAAATATAAAAATTGTACAGTAAGCTGTATCACGGACATTATATTATGATATCTGTGGTATGTAACATTGCTATTCTTGAGGAGTGATGCGTTTTTTTTTATCAATATGTTTTATCTATGGAATATCTTCCCAATATTTTTTTAATTAATTTCCATTAGTATCCTACATGATTTTTGGTTTGGTATACAGTTTAAGACTAGTTGTGTGTATTTATACAATGTATTAACATCAATAATGTCTCTGACATTAAAATACTATTCTACATAGACAACTGATATAAATATTCTATACAAAATATAAAATGAATTCGTTTCCGTTGTCTGTTTGATTATATCTTTTAAATTACTCAACGCATCGTAATGTAGTTTTTAGCTATCGATAGAGTGAATCAATAGGAAGGTTTATATATATAATGACCTATGCGTCTATTATGGACGATTTATGGCGTAATGGTCCGTGAACAGCTTTTTTCGTCTTTTATCTTTTTTTTTTTACGGAAGCGACACCTAGGCGGCTCAGTACAGACTACTGCCAATAGTTTCCTTTGCCGGGCCTGTGGTAGGCCATGCCGTTCTCGTATCGGTTTATATAATATATATGTACATAAAATTAATGGAAAGCTTGATTATATTATCTGTGGCGAATTTCAATAAGAACCTTTTATCTGGACAATATTCTCTGTGACGTTTAACATGGAACTGAAAACTAAGATGACTCTGATGTAATTGTTAAAATATTAATATTTAGTTATGTATATACATATCAAATTGGTAACCATTAGATATGTTGCATCTCTACCTACTTACTAATGAATGTTTACTTAGATATTATTAAAGTCAACGAAATGCTGTAAGTAACAATAGAAGCTCAAAGAAAAGTAAGCATTTACGAATTTACTCAATTCTATAATATATTTTTAATGACACAGTTTTGGTTTTTTATGACGTGAATGTTCATGCAATTGAAATTATACTTTATTTTAGTGACATGACAGATAACGTGATATTACATAGTGATATTATACTTTATTGGTGGACCTTTTTTGTCAACATTACCAGATTAAGAAGCTTACACAAGAATAACAAAAAGACATACCAAATTGGCAACGGGAACTGTCTCAGCTGTTGCTGAGTACAACCTTAATGAGGTGCACCTATACCAACGGCGGATTTGGGGGTGGTCATGGGGGTTATGAACCCCCATGAGCCCAGGACTTAGGTGGACCACTAATTGAACATAATGATTTTATTTATATATATATATTTTGTCACCATACCCTTTTAATATGTATTTTTAAGTACAGTACTTACGTACATTAATAAAATACCAACTTTTTACTTGTATCTATTGTTATCAAAATTAAATTATAAGTTCATGACTTGACCACGATTATGTGATCCCCTCATGGCGCCTAGGCTGGATCCACCCTTGACCTACACAGCGCTGGTGTTCAGGCATCCCTCATTATTCATTAAAAATCTTGGACCTCTTCCTATATCGGATTATTATATTAAAAGGATATAGATATTATTTCCCCTTGGTTTTTTTTGTTGTTCTTTGTAAAATCACAGATAAATCACCGTGATGATGAAACAAACACATTCTAATCGTTACCAACAAATGTATTGTTAATATTAGCTATAAAAGTTGAATGTATTTTTTATGTATATGTACATAAGACAGTAGTTCATAGGTATATCTGAATAACCTACTATTTTTCTTATACGAATTAATAATTATGTAACTCTTGTCTTGCCATTACAATAATATGTTACACAAATTATATGCCGTTCATTACAATTAAATAAAAAATCTACTTATAGTACGGTACGAACAGTGAGGATAAAATCTGAAGTCCATACTGAGCAACTACGCACCGTGAGGTCAAAAAGCTGCTATTGAGGGTTCTAATTGAAACTACATGGATGAGAGGACTTTAACTAGAAAACCATACTACAGACAAAACCAAAACATTTGTGTATTTTCTGTATATATTATTGTCTATATATGTCATTGTGACGCGTATTATTTATTGTACCTATTTCCACCACTGCGCAATTCCTCACAGTAACTCAAAGGTTGACTGGAAGAAATCCCTCTTCTGGGATAAGTCCGCCATTGTACGCATGTTTTTATTTTCTAAGTCAATTGTGTCCTTTTATTTATAATATTATTGTACAATAAAGTATTACAAACAAACAAACATCTTAATAGCGCCATCTAGTTTGTACGAAGTGAAATAGAATTACTAACATTTTAATTGTTTTAAACACAGACCCAACTCCAATTGTAGGTCCAGTTTTCGCTACTCACGAGGCAATAAATTGCCTAAAGCAAACAACTTTTGACTCGCTCCTCATCACTGCCCTAAAATGGCTCCTGATTTCAGTGTCATTTGTAGGTAATAGTACAATAGAATTGCATTGAAGACGTTTTAATTTATTAAACAATTTATATATTTACTTCGTGAGCACGGCTTGTGCAACCTAATAGAAACATTGAGAGAAGTAAATACCATTATTTACCATAAATTATTTATTTTAAAATCCATTTAACTATATTAATATTGTACTAAACGCGGATGTTTAAAAATAAGTAACTTATATAGATCTCTAGCTAATAACAAGTCCGTGAGTAATATAATTGGTTCTCTCAGGCACTTCCCTTTCCCCTCCGATGGATCCCCCGTCCAATTCAAACGGGGATCGAAATTACGACGGCCTGAGCCGTGGCTCAAACCCCTAGCGGTGCCCTCAGACTAAAGTCGTATCCGTCAGGCGGGAGTTGGCTTTCAGCCGCTCCATAAGTCCTTCCTCTGGTTTGGAGTGCCATCTGCACTCGCCCCTTATCGTCCGGTGAAGCTGTAAAGGCCAGCGGCTAACAGCATTAGAGTAGTCCGAAACAATCTTAGGTGCTCTGACAATATACGTCAGATCGACCCGAATATCCGAAACCGAGGCGGAAGTAATCAGGGTTACAAACACCATTTAATAATCATCATTTAAACCAGAGGTTCCCAAACCTTTGCCATATTTTTCGGTTTTGAGTAGACCCCCTGTTGCGGCCTCTTTGACAGACACTAGACAGAACAATTGACAAGCGACGAATACGGACGACAATATAGAAATTTGACTATTTATATTTTACAAGCTTTTGCCCGCGGCTTTGCTCGCGTTAATTTATCCCCTTAGGGGTAGAATTTATCAAAATCCTTTCTTAGGGGTGCCTACATCATAGTAGCTTTATGCATGCAAAGTCTCAGCCCGATCGGTTTAAAATTGACATACTTTCATCCCCTATTTTATACCTTTGGGGGTAGAATTAATAAAAATCCTTTCTTAGCGGATACCTACGTCATAACATCTACCTGCATGCCAATTTCAGCCCGATCCGTCCAGTGGTTTGGGCTGTGCGTTGATAGATCACTACGTCAGGCATCTTTGAGTTATATATATTTAGATTATCAAACAAGGTCTCTTTCATTACCGACGACAATCTGCCGTCGGCCGACAAGCAAACTGTTCACCCCCCATTCTTACCTGGTATTGATTTTTTGTAAAAATCTAACTATAGTAAAATTAAGTATTAAAAACTTAAAGTAAAAACAACAAGATGATCGCTGTCGTAGACCCCTTGCAGTTTGTCATGGACCCCTGGGGGTCGATATAGACCACTTTGGGAATCACTGATCTAAACCCATTAGGCGTATATATCTGTCACTTAATGACTTGAAAAAATGTGATAATTATTATTGTATCGATTTATGTTAATAGATAAGTATTAAACATTGTAAATAGGTTAAAAATATTATGAAATACATTCCTGTTATGAGTATTAACCTTTTTATTTTTTAATTCATAACTGTGTTGCCATTAACTTTTACCGACTATACTTGAATTGAAATTAAACCTACCTAGTGGATGAGTCTACCATAGTTTTAGTCATGAATACTGATAAATTTTAGATCTTTCTAGGTGTTTCTATCGTCAGACAATTAACATGAAATGTAAATCAGTACTACCACATATAATATAATATTACATAGTACTACTGAAAATTTCTCCGAACCTCTAAACTTACAACCTTTACCCCTGGGGGGAAAGGGAATTGTTAGTAATGTGAACTGTTGACCCCATTGCTAGCAATGTACCATGTCAGGTTGACCTCCACGCGGTTCCTCCTGGAAACCAAAATAAATTCTTGGAGAATTTGTCACGATGGGCGATTGTTCATCTTATCATCCTCCACTGGTGCCCCGCCAGCGTAAACCATTAGCGCAGGCGGGTGCACCGTTCCATTATCATAAAAAAAAACCTTTACCGCTTTATAATCTAGTAAACAAAATTCTCGTGTCACAATGTTAGTTAATCCTCCAAAATGACTTGACCGATTTATATGAAATTTGTATGCATATTCAGTAGGTTTGAGAATTGGCTACTATCTAATTTTCATACTCCTAAGTGATAATGGTTGTCCACCCCTAGTATTTTTTTATTTTTTATATAATATGGCATTAAAAAAAACGACAACCCTAAATTTTCACCGTTCTAACACCAAACCCTATATTATAAACGCGAAAGTATGTGAGTATGAATGTTTGTTACTCTTTCACTCAAAATCTACTCAACGGATTTTGATGTAACTTTACAGTAGTATAGCTTATGCATCAGAATAGCATATAGGTTATATTTTTTTATTGAATTTTATGTAAGAAAATAGTTGGCTGTACCATGTGCGCTAGTGCGGGTGACAGTTTCGTTTTACTCTTGAAAGTTGCCGCGATTTACAAATTATGAATTACTATTTCAGCTTTATCACATTCGTAATATATTATATCATTAATAACGGTAGTAATTTAAATTTAGCAATTGTTAAATGAAACAACTGTCACCCGCACCATGCTACAGCGCATACGGTATAGCAGAAAATATTAATGAAGTCCATAGCTAAATTCATTACACCACTAACTTCGGGTAGTTGCTTAATGTGAGAATGCAACAAGTTTTTTGATGTATGAATCAGCGGCTGATTGTACCTTTTATATTTCTGATGCATAGTAATCATCATCATCATCATCATCATCGCAGCCCGGAAGACGTCCACTGCTGGACATAGGCCTCCCCCAAAGATCTCCACGACGATCGGTCCTGCGATGCTCGCATCCAATGCCTTCCAGCGATCTTGACCAGATCGTCGGTCCACCTTGCTGGAGGCCTTCCCACGCTGCGTCTTCCGGTCCGTGGTCACCACTCGAGGACTTTGCTGCCCCAACGGCCATCTATCCTACGAGCTATGTGCCCTGCCCATTGCCACTTCAAAGTCGCAATTCTTAAAATGCATAGTAATGCAATCTGGAAATTTTTTCAGGTAGTTCATTCTTTCTGTGAAAATATATATTTAAGCTTAAAATTTTTACATTATTCCAGGTGATAGTAGGTGCAGTTTTATAAATAAGTGCTACATATATTTGATTTACGTTCAGTAAACCCCTAATCATTAACGTTGTATAATATCACAGTAAGAAATTAAGTTGATTACAATTTGATCAGGCGCTTTCATTAATATTTATGAAATGTATGATATATTTCGTCAGACCACAAATCTACTTTGATTTTAAGTACCTACTCTTAAATCGAAACATTATTTACAAATAATATTTGTTAGTCTCTCATATATGTACAATATTATCATCCTTGTAAACATATGCAACTTACTAATATTATAAACGCGATAATTTGTTTGTATGGATAGATGGATGGATGTTTGTCACTATTTCACGCAATAATTACTAAACGGATTTTGATGAAACAAAATTATATAGCTTATGAATCAGAATAACAGATAAGCTATAAATTACACGCGACTGAAACGCGGGTACAGGTAGTGAATAAATAATTGTACTAGTAAAAATAATTAGAACAAATAAATACAATTTAATTGAAAACGCTGTTGTTACTTTTTATTTTATAATCATTATTGATTTATAGTATATAAATCAAAGAAAAGAGATTATAAGAATTAATTAAAAAATCTTTTATATTTCAATTTCTGAACGTGTCTAGATGTGTTCTAATCAAAGGTAATGTTCAAAGGTAAAACTTGTTTATTGAAAACAGAATAAGTCTGTGTATCTCTGTCTGATATGCACAGTTTGAAAAAGACAGAAATAACTTGATAAATGGAATGGATTATGCTATGGAACACTCCTAACGTCATGCGAATTGACGCGAAGCGCTAATGTCATGTTATAAATGTCAAAAGAAATGTGACTGTGGCCCCTGTTTTGTCTTTTACAAATTTACTTGTTGATTTTACAATAATATTAATGTGAAATAAGTGATTAGTGGCGTTGTGAATACAAGGAAACTATGCTGTAGTGTTGTGAATGCAGAATCCACTCTGCACTTATCATCTTCGTAGGTGGTGCCCTAATTGTTCAGGTAACGGTATTATTTATTTTTGACGACGTCGAAGGCTCTCAAATCCGGCTCATGTAGTGAGTAGATCGATTACAGATCCTCAAAATGCCTTGTTATATAATATAAACATGTATAATTGAAATATTTGTGTTCAATATGAATGCGGTAACATGTCAAGAAGGTAGACACCTACGTTGTTTTGATCGGAAGTATAAAATAGTTATTCTAAATTTGTCTTTTATTTTAGAAAACACTAAAAGTCCTGCAATTGACTATTAATATTCTGTACCATAAATTATGGCTGTTTTATTAAATAAGCACTTGATATTTATACTAAACATATATGATAAAATATTTTTTATCAACGTACATATTATCTAGTAATCTAAAAATAGAGTTATTTATGTATGTATGATCATTGTTTATATAAAAATATTTGTATGGTTATAGATCTTTTACTATTTAATGGTATTTCATTTCATCTATTACATATAAATAAAATTGGAGTGTCTGTTTGTAATGTTGAAATAACTGTTTTTTACATCACCACATAGTTTCATATAAGTACTAGCTGTTCTCGCGACTTCGTCCACGTGGAATTTAATTTAATTTTTCTAAAATAAAAGTAGCCTAACTTACTCCTTATTATATCAGCTACCTGCTAAAAAAAGTCCCGTCAAAATCGGTCCAGCCATTTCAGAGATTAGCCAGAACAAACAGACAGATGGACAAAAATTGTAGAAAATGTTATTTTGGTGTATGTACCATATTTATATTCATATTTATGTAATAAAAAACGGTTATTTCGATATTACAAACAGACACTCCAATTTTATTTATATGTATAGATACTAGCTGTGCCCGCAGTTTCATCTGCATGAAATTTATAGCTTATATGTTATTCTGATGTATAAGCTATATTACTGTAAAGTTTATCCCAATCCATCAGTAGTTTTTGCGTGAAAGAGTAACAAACATCCATCCATACTCAGAAACTTTCGCATTAATAATTTTAGAAGATTACTAAACAATATAATTAAATTAACAACCATAGACTGAGCAGACCAGTACCCATAAGCCAGTTTTTTATTTGTTTGTTGTATTAAATACATATATAAATATATATATGTACATATATAAATATTGTCACTAGGAATACAATTGGCACTAGTTAGTTATTGTAAACATATTAACACTTCATCATGTAGATATTGCAGTTAATTCAACTTGGATTAATTGAATCAAAGATAACAAGACAATCGAATGTTATATTATATAAAAGTGATAACAAAATAATATATCTTTACATTTTAACCTAACTTGAAGTTTTTATGAAAACTGATTTTGTGATAGTTATTTATAAACGTTCATGTTTAATATACATTATTTACATTATTACTCGGGTCTAAAGTCAACTTGTGACCACGGCTAGCATAACCTAATCGAAACATTGAGAGAGGTAAATTTTTATTTGCCATAAAATTATTTGTGTTAAGACACGGTTAATAATATAAATAATGATTTTGTGATGTTTTAAAATTTGTTCTTGTTTGTGAAGTATTAATTTCTTTCTAAATTTGAAAGTAACCTGACATGGTACATTGCTAAATGTACCATGTCAGTGCTAGCTCCATGTGGTTTCCCAAGTAAACCTTTGTGATAAATTCATGGTCAACTAACAACAAACTTTTGACTTGGTTCAGAGTCGTGCTATGAGAATTATCGATGATCCCAATCACTCAAACGGTGTCGAGTCACATAGCTTGAGGCTTCGCATCGCTTTGTGCTTTCTACTGAATATACGACGGACTGTGTTTTGAAGAATTGTTTGACATGATACCCACGGCTACCTTTTACCATCGCATCCCTCGCCATCGACAGCGAATTCATCCCCACACGCTGCAACATAAGTGGTCTCGGACAGTGCAGTTCCAGAGGAGCTTTCATCCGCGTACCCATAGATTGCAGAATGAACTACCTGCCGAGGTTTTCTCACGAGACTACAGCATGGGTTTTTCAAGAAGGTTATATTAAGGTTTCTTAAGGGTCGGCTTAAAAAATGGTTATTTCAATATTGCAAGCAGACACTTTAATTTTATTTATATGTATAGATTACGTTGTCACGTTGTTTGTCCGCGATGGATTCATAAATTGCTAAACCGTTTGCAAATTTGATTTGCTCATTATGTTCAATTTGATCGAACTCTAAAGATAAGATAGCTTACATCTCAATTTATAGTCGCAATATGATTTTGTTGACTCAGCCACAGCACGCGTGGCCGGGTCTGCTAGTTTTTTATATATATAAACCAAATGAACTTATACAATACTTATTGAAATCAGTATAAATTTAATATAACATCACTCAATCGAGGTAAAAGAAGAATCAACTTAACAAATAAAAATTTACTGAGACTACTAAGGCATAGTGTCATTAATTTTGTGTTTCCTAAGAAACCTTCTATAGATATCGTCCCAAAATATGACCCGTTCTGTTGTCACATCTGATATGGCTAAGACGTCCCCAAATATGAGTCCTGTCACCCCTTTGATGGAGTCACTTGCTGTTACTGGTGGCCACACGACTGGTATTAAACTTGTTATTAGAGGTGTTGGATCTCTGGAAATAATAAAACAAATACGTCTACGATATTTGAAATAAAAGATAGGCGGACATACCGTCCTAAAGATACAATCCATCTATAGGTTTTTATTAAGACCTGTTCAACTGTAGTGTTAAGATAACAAACAGACGGTCTGTCAGGCAAGCTTTTGCATTTATAATATTGGTATGGATTGGCTAATTTGTTCATAGCATTGATATCCTTACGGTTACAATGCAAAAATATATGGGTAGTCTTCAGTTTGTATTTCTATCTAGTTTAATTTCGGGATCAATTTTATATGTAACTGTCGTAGCTGTCCCGGCAAACGTTGTTTTGCCTTAAAATAAAAATTAGGGGTGGACTACCCCTAACATTTAGAGGGATGAAAAATAGATGTTGGCCGATTCTCAGACCTACTCAATACGCTCACAAGATTTCATGAGAATCGGTCAAGCCGTTTCGGAGGTGTATGGGAACGAAAACTGTGACACGAGAATTTTATATATAAGATAATCTATATTTTGGGCGGTCTAGAACTGCAGTGGGTTCTATACTAGGACCTATATCTAAAACTGCATTAGCAGCTCTTGTCAGGTTTCACTGGGCAGGAAGAATATGACGAGTGGAGAAGGTGAATGTTGACGTATGTCGGCAAATGGCCCTTAAAACCTACGCCAGGTCACAAGTCCCAGAAACTTCTTGGACTTTACCTTTCTGCCACACGATGGGCCGGCACCCGCACGGTGATTTTATGGAATGGATAGAATTTCGCCTCACGTTAACTTGTTATCAGTTACTAGAGATAGAAATACAAACATTTTCAATGATGTCCAATTTGAACTTACTACTTAAAAGGCCTAGACAAGAGCAGAGAATTTAAATATATTGACTTACCCTATTTTAATAAAGCTACTCCACATAGTGACTAATCTTCTTAGTGCCAGTTCATGCGTAACATCACTAGCATCATTTCCATTAAAAAGATAGTCTATTAATTTATAATCTCGTGTTTCCACATCGTCTAATTGCCGAGAGTTACATTTGTATGTAAATTTCATTAAATAAACTGGATTAGAACTAGCTTGTGCATGGAGTGCAGCAGATTTGATAACCGGATACTCCATAATGATGTCCCGAAAATACTCTTCATATACTCGAAATATACTATCACCTATCTCTGTTCCACTAAAGTAAAAATCTTTCACCAACTCTCCAATTTTATGTTTTAATTCGTCACTTTTGAATTCCAAATTGTTTGGCAATAAAAGTTCGAAGTTTTCCGGTATAGATTCAAAATAGTTTCTAGATACGTTAGTTAATTTAACTTCATCTGTGAATATTAGCATCATTGGTACTTTATGATAATTTCTTTTCTTGAAAATATCCATAAGGTCCGTATCTATGAAAGCATTGTTATTTGTACTCTCAATGCACGGTAAAAATATTAAATTTATCTTCAAAAGTTCTACAGCAGAAGCTGTTCTAAAAAACATTGATAGATCTTTCGCATCTTTTCTGCCCTTATATCCCAACATTGTTGCTACATCGGCAGCAATCGTTAGAGAGTCATAACTTACAGATACAGGAGATAATGCAGTCCCAGACTCTAGTATCACTTTATGCAGTAACCCATTACTTAATCCGGATAACAAAACTAACTCTACAGCGGCCGCTCCAAATCCAAACCCATAAACTGTGATATCTAGCGGATTACCGCCGAAATTCGCTATGTTTTTATGAATCCAGTACAAAGCGGCTACAATATCTTTAAGACCGGCGTTGCCAGGAGCTTCAGTTATGCCCAGACATAGAAAGCCGAGGGCACCGAGTCTATAGTTGAAGGTTACTATTAATAAGCCCTCCCGAAGAAGCCTCACAGGCGCTTGGAAATTACCCCATCTGAAAGTTACGTGACAATTATTGACGCCCTCAGTGGCACACCGCCATACTTTAACGGTAGTGGGCTCGATTCCCAATACGATGCAAATATTTGTGCTCATGAGTTGTTTGTATTGGCCTGGGTGTTTTCTATGTATATTACGTAGGTATTAACAAATAAATTGAAATTCAAAATATCTTTAATCTTGTAGGTCTATTACAGACTCTTATGATATGTCAAATCTACCGTCAGTTCGGAATGATTTCGAGAGGAGAAGAACTGACAAGAAACTCAGCTCGTATTCTTTTCAAATAAATGTTGTACATGTTTACAATAAAATATTTAAGTATTTAATCTGTGTGTAGTACCCATAATAACAAGCTCTGCTTAGCTTGGGACTAGATGGCGGTGTGTGAATTGTCCAGGATTATAATAATAATAATCTTTATTTACTACTCACAGGGTTCAAGAACAATATACATAAATTATGTTCAAACTTTCCACTTACTCGTTGTCAAGCCTGGAGTCTGAACTAGGTCGAGATCTGTAGGTACCACAGATCTCCAAGCTCTCTCCGGGATCTTCTAATCTCAGTCCTCTGAAGTGACAACGCATTAGTGGGATCGCGGATGTCACATGATAACGTGATATCCGTAGTACTGTTTATGTATATAGGCGACGATTACTGGTAGGGGTAAAGGTATTGATAATAATGTGGACTAATAACCCCATTTCTAACAATATACCATGTCGGGTTAACCTCCCCATAAACCATTGTGATAAATTCATGGTGAATTTACCACGATGGGCTAACTCAACTGAATTCGTACTTATTTTATCATCCACTGGTGCCCCGACAGCGTAAACCGTTACCGCAAGTACTAGATAGCGAACTTTGAATAAGGGCGAGCACAATAGATCTAACAGGTCGCAGTGTTACAGGTCATAGCCCCTAATAATAGTGCAAACCCCCATTAAAAAAAAATAACGCAGGCTGGTGCATCATTCAGTTATCATCCATAAGTTACTGATGGACCGTCAGCTTATTTACCATTCCAATTATAAAAAACAGTATATAAGTACCCATATCCAAAACACCCGTCATGAACCACCACAAATACTGGCAGTGTCTCTGCATGCTCTGCTTGACCCGGTGCGTCGCTTCGAAGATACCGTCCCACCGTGGTGGTGATTTCGGTGCCTGTGACAAAAGCATATTGATTCTTTTTTGCCAGTAAATTTATTCAGTACCTGCTGACCCGAGTGAAAATGTTGAGAACGAGGCAATTCTCCACGCCTTCTCCGTCAGGCTGTGGACATTTGACCCGGTGCGTCGCCTCGAAGATACCGTCCCACCGTGGTGGTGATTTCGGTGCCTGTGACAAAAGCATATTGATTCTTTTTTGCCAGTAAATTTATTCAGTACCTGCTGACCCTTTTTTTTTTCGACTACTCTAATGCTGTTGGCCGTACAGCTTTTTTTTTTTCGGCTACTTAATACAGCTTCAGCGGACGTTAGGGGCGAGTGCAGATGGCACTCCAAACCCGCGGAAGGACTTATGGAGCGGCTGAAGGCCAACTCCTGCCTGACGGATACGACTTTAGTCTGAGGGCACCACTAGGGGTTCGAACCTCGGCTCAGGCCGTCGTAATTTTGATCCCCGTTTGAATTGGACGGGGGATCGATCGGAGGGGACAGCTACAAAAATATTACAAATAACATATGAGAAATCAATAAAACGAAACATTAGCGCGTTTCAATTTTGTTACAGCGCCATCTATTGGCGTTGAATGAAAACACTATTGTTTCACTGATTATTATCTAAACCTTAACATACTCCCATAAAAAACATAATCATTAGTATAAAATAGAACTAAGGAGCTTAAAAATGGCCTTGAGAGTTCTGACGAGTGGGACAGGGACTGTCCCGCGCGGGTTTTGGCCTACATTCGTCCCGCCAGAATTAGGTCAAAAAGTGTATTGTATTGTGTATGTATATTCTGTAAACAATTATTTGACAGACGATCTTGTATGGCGTTCGTTGTTCAGACAAGGAATTTTATATTTTAAACTAGCTGTACCCGCGACTTCGTCCGAATTTAACTTTATTTTTATAAAATAAAAGTAGCCTAAGTTACTTCTTATTACATCAGCTACCTGCCAATAAAAGTCCCATCAAAATCGGTCTAGCCATTTCAGAGATTAGCCGGAACAAAAAGACAGGCAGAGAAAATAGTAAAAATTGTTATTTTGGTGTATGTACCGTATTTATATTCATATGCATGTAGTAAGAAACGGTTATTTCAATATTACAAACAGACACTCAAATTTTATTTATATGTAAAGATAAGTTAGAGATATACACTACTTAAATGCTATGTAATATTTGAAGATTGAAATTGATTAAAAAACAATAATTACCTAAAACAATTTACCAGTTGAGTTTCTTGCCAGTTCTTCTCAACTGAAGTACCTAGCCGAAGTGCACGCTAAAGTAAAGGCATAGTTACAAGAAATATTACGTGCACGAGAATAGATTAAGAAATTCTTTATTCCAATATGTAAGTTACATTTAACCTTTTGTGGTATGATATTCATTAGTTATTATCCTCGATTTTTCGATAAATTGATAAATATTTAGTGAGGTAAATAATACAGGCAGCATTGAGCGTATTTGTATTAGGTAATATTTGTTTAATACTATGTGCTAAGTATATAAAATACATAAATATATATATAAAATTAATATAAAATATGGAAATATTCTTAATATTGACTTTAATATACAATAGTATATAAGAAAGTAGACAAACAGTATAAAAGTAGTTTAATAGTTATAAATCACATAGGTATAGTCAAGTTAATCAAATGTTCAATAAATTTAGGACATCAATTACTAGAAACTGTAACAAGAGATAATTTAAAACGTACATTCATTAGTTATTTTTTTAATCTATCGCTCATTCGAAAAACTTTCTCATCACAAGAATGAGGAAGAACTTGCATCATCATCTGCTCCTTATCCTATTTATTTGTGGTCGGCGTAATATGTTTTTCTCTTCCATTCATCTCTGTTCGCAATCATCTCGTTATTTACTTCCTTTTTTACCATATCATCTTTCTCAAGCCATTCATCTCTTCGGTCTTTCTCTGCCCTTGTCCACAACCAACCATCCACATTCATATGTAACACCTTCCTTAAAATATTATCTACATTCCTACTTCCTATAACCAAGAAGAACGATGCGTGATGTTCTTTTCTAGAGGCCGAAAAGTACAATGATTTTGATTTTGGTTTGTTTGGCAAAGTTTGTCCTGTATACATAATGTTTTTGTTTCCTACCTCATTTAAAAGATACAATCTACGTCCGCGTCCACGTTTCGTCTAATACGTTGTGATAATGATCTCACAGCGCAAAATGAGGTTTGCGTTAGGGATGTGATAAAGTAATCACGACAAAAAGCCGATTAAATGATTCTATATTTGTATTTAAAAAAATCAATTAATAGACTTTTACACAGAGGTTTTGGCCTAAGAAAAAATCTGTACAGCCCGAATCGTTATTATATTTTTAAAAATGTATTATAGTAGTTTTTTTACTGTCGTTTTGGCCTAAGAAGAACAAAACCAAGTATTCTCAACCCATAAAGGCTTACGGTCTAAAAATCAAGACAAAACAATGGTTTAAACAAAACATATATTGGACTTAAATTCGGTTACTAATTAATCGATTAAAAAATCGATTGCTAACACAAATATTCGACTTTTATACGCAACGTTCACATCTCTAGTTTGTGTCTATCAACAAACGAAGCTGACCTTAAACCTGTCGTAACGTGTGGGCGGCCGGCTGTAGGGGAGTCCGAGGAAGGCGTAGTGGGGCGGGTCGGGGGTGAGGTACCCTCGCACCACACCTTGAGTAGTTCCAACGTCACGGTGAACCCTCGAGGTCGGGCCGGCCCGTGCGTACACCACCGTCAAAATACCCGCAAAAGGCAAGACTGCAACCATGCTCCTGACTTAACTTTGTAACTGAGGTTGCAGACGGTACGATTTCCCTTAGTGCTAGTAAGTTACTCCAACTAACATTATTATCAAAACACCTTATTGTGGAATCTAAACAATTGTAATATTTGAATTTATACAGATTATCCTTTGATGTACAGTCAACTGAATATACTTGTCCGAGTGTCTGTTTGCCGGGCAGAAAATAATACGGTATACGTGAATGGATTGATATAGAAATGTTTAAATTTATTTTTGTTAATTTATTTGGCGAAAGGTTTATTTCATTTATATTCAGTTCAAAAATCTTTGACTAAAAATCTTTCGGAAAAGAGGATATAACTTTCTGCAAACATTAGCCAGACATTTGGTGGTAAGTGATCAACATCGCTTTTAGACGTGGACATTATATGACACTCGTGATACCACTTTGCCATTTTGATTGTCTAAGGTGTTATGCTCCTTATCCTGTACTACCTTTACTTTATCTCACCTTAAAACCAAAAGCCAACTTACAAAGCAATCTGATTGGATGCTAAAATTGATAAACAGAGGTAATATTTGTATTCATGAGTATGATTGATCGTATCGCTCTGGGTGTTTTCTATGTATTTACAAAAAATATCTAAGTATTTATATCAGTTGTCTAGTACCCCTAACACAAGCTCTAGCTAAGCTAGATAACGTTGTGTGAATTATCCTAGGGGTACTATTGTTATTTACCTGTCGTAGACTTTTTACAAAGCCTATCTCGGTGGAATGCTCATGGGTGGTAGATATTTACCATCCGATGAGCCGCATGTTCAAACCAGCAAACGCTAGAGGGAAAACTGCCTTCTATAGCGTAGGTCTTGTACCTTGTTCTTTGCTAAGTACTTGTTTCAAATAAGAAATATATTATTTCCTATAGTTTATTTGTGCTGATATAAAGTGGTATAATTATTGTAGAATTTTAGAAATGCATAAAATAATTACTTACGATTTTAAAATTTAATTCGTCTATTACAAAGTCGCTTTTATGCAGACCATATAGTCTGTTCTTTTAATTACACGTGAATTCGAAAACGTTACAGTAATTGCATCTGTATGAAGCTGGAGCGAGTTAAATGTAATTGATGACTTTAAATCTATTATAATACCAGCTTTTCCCGCGACTTCGTCACGATGAATTTAACTTTATTTTTCTAAAATAAAAGTAGCCTGAGTTACTCCTTATTACATCAGCTTCCGGCCAAAAAATGTCCCGTCAAAATCGGTCCAGCCATATCAGAGATTAGCCGGAACAAACAGACAGACAGACAAAAATTGTAAAAATGTTGTTTTGGTGTATGTTCCGTAGTTTTATTCGTATGCATGTAGTAAAAAACAGTTATTTTAGTATTACGAACAGACACTCTAATTTTATTTATATGTATAATAGATTATGTACCTAAAGAGTTTAGTTGAACGCGCTAGTCACAGGAATTACTACAATGATTTGAAAAATTCGTTTATTTATTTATTTATTTAATGCCGTATAGCTCGATTTATAGAGTAAAGCTTCAAAAACAATAAAAGCAGAAGCTGGATGAAAAATGTTACAAAAACGTGATAACCACTTAATCCTCCAGAATAGCAACGTGAGTGATGTGATAACGTGATATCCGTAGTAACAGTTACTACTTAACTTCAGGTGGACCACTATCTTGTTTGCAATTACATGGATGAAACACGTGTCACAATATAGGTGTATAAAGAATCTAATCTAATAAAGACCTATTGGGTCTCTTACGGCAATAGGTATAATAATTTACAATAAGATACCAAAGGATATATTGGAATTACCCTTAAATAAATTCAAAACTTCTGTTAAATCATATTTACTGAGCAAAGTCTATTACTCAGTAAACGATTACTTGAATGAGGAGCGTGCATGGCAATAGTTGTTCATGCACGGGATTTTGATTCAATGTTAGACATAGACACCTATATAAATATACATTGTAAATAAATTGTCTTTTAAAAAAATAATAAGTAATTCAATTGAGTTTCTTGCCAATTCTCCTCAGTTGGATCTGTATACTGAACTGGACGCTAGGGTAAAAATTATAATAAAAAAAATTACATTAATAACGGCTAAAACCTACATGAATAAATGATATTTGAATTTGTGTAGATCAAATAACGGTCGGAATGTGATCACTATAGGGAAAATCGTAACACCTCCAGTAGCAGTGGTCAGCTTTCCACGCATGTGTGGTCTCACATATGCTAATGGTCGTGGAATTAAACAAAATAATATAAATAATGAAGTAAAGAATATTTATGAAGAAATTGTTAGAACAGACAAAACACATGTAGGACTAGAAAGTGTTTATTTGATTCTCATCGTACCATATTTATATTCAGATACCCTCATGTTACACTTTAAGAAGAACTACACATCTTAAATACTAATTCCGTAATGTTTATAACTAAAACTTGCTTACGTCGTTTACAATTATACCTTTCTGTGTATAAAGTAATATTTAGAGGACTCTCGATATAATTCCTAAAAGGAGAATATTCGTCGCAAAGAGCATGCATGGTTGCAACATTCCTGCCCAGTTCCGTTCCACAAAATGTGCTTTATAAATTTCGGTCCAAAGTTTGATCCGGTCCTCGTGTATGCCCTCTCTCATGACCAGGGTGGAATTATTCAAAGACAGCCATTTCTCTTCCGATGCTTCTGTACTGTTCAGCGTCTCCCATTCCTCCGAAGGATTTCTGAAACGTTGGAAACAAAAATCAATTTCTTCGTCAAGATTTTTTAATGGCAATACTAGAAATATAGTACGCCGGATAAATTACTCATTCAAATACAACTCATTTAAGTTGCATTAACTAAAAAATATTTAAAAATAAATAGAAAATCAATTTTATAGTTCTAATGTTAATGTTATTAAACTTTGCGTCGAATAGCCTTACGCCCCATCTCCTCCATTGCGTGTGGCGAATACATTTAATTCCCTGACACGTATTATTCAATTACACTTAGTCAAGTACTGGCAATGACTGACTACCCCATCTCATAATGCCCCTGGACATTTGACACAGCGCCGTCGAACAATCCCAAGCTAAAGCTTACTAAGCTGAGCTTGTGTAATGAATACTGTACAACTGATAAAAATATTATTTTTTTATAAATACTTATAAAATATACATAGAAAACACCTAGATAAAATAGTCATACTCATGAATACAAATGCCACAAACATTTGATTGAACCCACATCCATCGGAAGCAAAGCGGTGATCCTAAAGAGCTAGACCACCTAGGACGTTATAGTAATGAAATTATAATAATAATAATATCTTAGGACAAATTCAACACACAAACAGACAAACAAATCACATAGTGCCATCTAGTCCCAAGCTAAGCAGAGCTTGTGTTATGGGAACATATATATTATACATAGAAGACACTGAAGTATGAACTTATTATTAAAATAAATATAACTTTCGATAATTGACGTAAGTATCTAATGCTGCACGTACTTCTTACCCTGACTTTATGAAGTGGACCCATAAATCTATTAATTTGTCTGACATCTCTTGATCGTCATTTTTTTCATTCAATGTATCACCTGTATATGAAACACCTGTCTCCTTTGTATTCACTATCTCGTCTGAATTCTCTGTAGTTGTGTGATCCACAAATAAATACCCAACAATATCCCCACGCGCTGTGCCATCAATTATTTTCCCAAGAGATATTAACTGCCTATTCAGGTCGCCAACAAATGAAAATTCATAAACGTAGACTGTTGCTCCTGCTTTGACTAGCTGACGTGCCAGACGAACTACATGACTTATGTAATAAGCATCAGTATAGTATAGAGATAGATTCTCTACATTATCCATAAAAATAGGTTTACTATCAAAATACTGAACTTTGATCAAATTCGCAACTGAATCCTTTTCGGGTTCTCCTTTATCGAAAGATAAATCGTTTGGTAGAAATTTTGAGAAATTTGTATTAAGCTGACAGAGACTTTGTGGAGTCTGATCCAGTGCTTCTTGTAAACCGGCGTGACTAGCAAAACCTAGCATAAAGGTTTTGGTAATATTCTCGTTTTCCAATATATACCATGGAGTTTTTGTTATAAATCCATCTACATTATTCTCTATACATGGTTTGAAATTCATATTAACCGAAGCTAATAGTAATTGTGTAATGTTTGTATCTTCGAATATGTTGTTTTTTAGTACACTTTCTTGATTTTCCATATCTTTCATATTTCCTTCAAGAATTTGAGCAGTTTCTAGTGGGTTTCTATCTATTGCCCAGTGTGATAATACAGATCCACTTTCTGTTATTACTTTACTTACGTAGTCTTTAGACTTGGGGGACAGTGCTAAGTATTGCACTAAAGCACCTGATCTCCCGTCACCACTCAGAACTATATTACTTGAATTACCGCCAAAATGTTGTATATATTTTCTTGTCCAATTCAGAGCTAAAGCTAGATCCTTTAAACCGGCGTTGCCAGGTACGGTCTCATTTTGAAGACATAGAAATCCTAAGGGCCCAAGTCTGTAATTAGGTAGAACAACTATAATATTTCTGTCTACAAATTTTGCAGGTCGATAATAATCGGGATCGCCGCTTCCAAAAATAAAGTTTCCACCGTGTATATAAAACAGTACGCTTGCATTTTCTTGTTGTCTCTCAACATGTTTGGGTTTGAAAATACTCAAAGTTAAGCAATCAAGTGTACCAGTTACTTCTTTGTTTTTTAATTGATAACAATTTCTCGTATGGTATTGGTTATTGAGAGGGTCTTCCCACCGATCAGCTGACTCTGGAGCCTGAAATGTGGATATTTTAAATTTAAATTGATATATAACTAATATTGCCTAATACTAATAAAAAACACACAAACTCTCTGTGTCTTCCCAAACTTTTTTGTGTGGTAGACCCCGTCTCATATTTTTCGGTTTTGGGTAGACCCCCTATTCTTACCTGGTATTGATTTTTTGTAAATTCTAACTGTAGTAAAGTTCAGTGTTAAAACATAAAGTAAAACCAACAAGATGACCGCTGTCCTAGACCCCCAGCAGTTTGTCATAGATCCCTTGGGGTCGATATAGACTACTTTGGGAATCACTGCCCTATACCTTCATGTTTAATTTAATTAAAACCCATTTAACTGTTTAGTTGTGTCAATATAACAAACAGACATACACAATTCATCATTTATAATATTACTAGCTGATTACTAGACAACTAATATAAATTGTATCGTGCGAGGAATCGAACCCGCACAGGGGACAAACTAGCCTGCCACTCACGTGATGGTAAGTGATTACCGCCGCCCATGAGCACCCGCAACACCAGAGGAATTGCAAGTACGTTGTCGGCCTTTTAAAAAGGGACAAGCTCTTTTCTTGAAGGTTTCAATATCGTATCGGTTCGGAAATACCATTGCTGGAAGGTGATTCCACAATGTGGTTGTGCGTGGCAAAAAGTTTCTAGAAAACCGCACTGTGGAGGACCGCCATTCATCCAGATGATCACGATGGTATTTTATGGTGATGGTGGGTGGTACGGTGACAAAACTTACTTCTACCGATCTTTGTTTGAATATATACAAACAGTATAAAGTAATTACCTGAAATGGTTTCTTTTCATCAATTTTTCCGTAAGGTATATCTATGAATCCGATTACGTTGGGATGATCTTTCCAATTTATACCCTTTACTGACCCCTGATCTGGTATAGAGACTTCTTCTGTAACTTCATCCTCTATTAAAAATACATTAGTTTTTATTAATTAAGCTTTACTCTATTTATTCTCGACGGCCTCGGTAGTCCAGCGGTTCAAACACCGCCTTTCTTCCAATGGTCGCAGGTTCGATTTCTCGTACATGATTGTTTATTGGTATCTACAAGGCAAGCTGTTTAGATCGAGATTAGATGGCGCTGTGTGATATTATTATTATTATTATTATTAATATGTTTTATTTTCACACTTAAACTTAAATTGTAAGTAAGAATAAATTATTTAAAAGATCAACACACAAGTTTCTTGCTTGTTCTTCTTGTGATGAAACAGCATTCCGAATGAGCTATTCAAAACTGCTTCGATGTAAAATTAATGATTTTCTATTTTCTATTCTATTCTATTCAATTCTATTCTATTCTATTCTATTCTATTCTATTCTATTCTATTCTATTCTATTCTATTCTATTCTATTCTATTCTTTCTCAGCTTTTGTTGGGGTTTTACGCTTTGCGGCGTATACCACACTTACGAGCCAAAACTAAGTAAGTGCAGTGTGTGTGTGTGTATGTGCGTGTGTATATTGTGAACCTTTTAATTTACGTGATATGTGTTTCGTTATTTATTAATCTTCTTATATATAAAATTCTCGTGTCACAGTTTTCGTTCCCATACTCCTCTGAAACGGCTTGACCGATTCTCATGAAATTTTGTGAGCGTATTGAGTAGGTCTGAGAATCGGCCAACATCTATTTTTCATCCCCCTAAATGTTAGGGTAGTCCAGCCCTAATTTTTTTTTTTATTTTAAGGCAAAACAACGTTTGCCGGGACAGCTAGTATTATATAAATATATGTTTTATATATCTCCCTTTTGACTACTGTATGGGATATATGGGGTAGTACTTTCAAACACACGGATGAGTTATATGAGGATGAAGACAGAAATTTTTATTATTATATTTCTGACTGACTCTATGGTGATGGGAACATCTATATCTGGGGGAAGGGGATGGTTAGTAATGTGGACTAATGACCCCATTGCTAGTAATACATCATGTCAGATTGACCTCCACGCGGTTGCCCCCTAAAAACCATCGTGACATATTCCTCCGGTCCTAAAATCTTCCCTGGATATTCACGAATATTTCAAGACTAAATCGGTTCAGCCGTTTTCGACTTTTAGCGAATAGAATAGAATAGAATAGAATAGAAAATCATTTATTTAAATAAACTTAATTTAAGCACTTTTGAATAGTCATAACAATTTGTTTTTTATCTACCACTCGTTCGGAAAGCTGTCTCATCACAAGAAGAACGAGCAAGAAACTTGTGTGTTGCTCTTTTAAATAATCCTTGTAAGTTTACATTTACAAGTCGAAACGTGTGAATACAAACTACCAACAAGCACTAATTTTTGGGTCAAATATAAATATGCAATAAGATTAAATCAGTCGTAGTGATAATGACTACTCATTCCACACGACCACGTCACAGCTACAACGAGCGAGACTAACGAACAGCGATTTAATAGAAATAGAAATAATATTTATTCAAAAAAACTTAATATGCACTTTTCAATAGTCACATTTTTTTATTCTACCACTCATTCGGAACGCAGACTCATCACAAGAAGAATGAGCAAAAAACTTGTGTGTTGCTCTTTTAAATAAATATTGTTTTAATTACATTTACATTAACAAGGATTAGTCATGCGACATTCATTTTTAGATATAGATTTTTTTTATACTACGATGGTGGCAATCAAGCATACGGCCCATCTGATGGTAAATGGTTATCGTAGGCTATGAACGCCTGAAACACCAAGGGTGTCACGTGCGCGTTGCCGACCCTTAAGAAACCTTAATATACCCTTATTGAAAAACCCCACGCTGTAGTCTCGTGGGATAACCTCGGCAGGAAGTTCATTCCACAATCTAAGTGAAGCTCCTCTGAAACCGCACTGATCGGGACCACTTAGGACTTCTTATATATACGACCTCTTCGGTCTAGCGGTCTAGCACACCGCTTTACGACCGATGGTCGCGGGTTCGATTCCTCGCACGGCACAAACATTTGTATTCATGAGTATGATTGTTTGTATCGGTCTGGAAATATTCTATGTATAATATGTATGAGCAATACACAAGTTTCTTGCTCGTTCTTCTTGTGATGAGACAGCTTTCCGAACGAGTGGTAGATAAAAAACAAATTGTTATGACTATTCAAAAGTGCTTAAATTAAGTTTATTTGAATAAATTATTTTCTATTCTATTCTATTCTATGTATTTACAAAAAAAAACTATGTATATGTAACAGTCATCTAATACCCATAACGCAAGCTTCAGCTAGCTTAACTTGGGTCTAGATGGCGCTGTGTGAATTGTCCTGAGATTATTATATTAAAAGAGTTATGTATAAGGGACGAGAGAAGATATTACCTGAAGTATTACTGGATGATGAGCTATCATCGGCTTTATTTGTTGCAATTAAATTCTTCATCAATGGTGGTCGTTTGTTAAGGTTCAGTTGCAGCGAGTACCCTGTCAGTAGTGTCACGATCCAAATTGATAGTTCCCATTTCATTTTGTATCTCCGTCACGCAATATTGTACCCTGGAAATGGTATTTTACTTGTATTCAAATTCAAATTCAAAATATCTTTATTCATGTAGTTCTATTACAGACTTATGATATATCAAATCTACCGTCAATTTGGAATGATTTCAAGATAAGAAGAACTGACAAGAAACTCGGCTCGTATTTTTTTTTAATTTATTTACAATAATACAGATTCATTTAAATTCAAATTTGGTAGAATAGAGTGACCACCATTATATACATTACATTCAAATGCGAACCATTACATTAAAAAAAATATTTATATGTTTATATAATAATATGTATATATATACATATATAACCTTGACCAAATAAAGAAATAATATTTAATAATATAACCCTACAAAATTAGCAAGCATTGTAATATAATACTTACCATTCCCTTACAACTTAACTTCCATTTCCGTCTTAAAGATTAGTCTATGTCCTGCCTTAGGGTCTAGACTATCTGTGTACCAAAACTAATTTAAATGAAATTTGGTTCAGTAGTTTTGACGTGAAAGAACGATAAAAAGATATAGTTAACTCTTTTTTTTTGTCTTTAAGATAAGTCTGTGTCCTGCCTTAGGGTCTAGACTATCTGTGTACCAAATTCCATTTAATCGGCTCAGTAGTTTTGACGTGAAAGAACGATAAAAAGATATAGTTAACTCTTTTCATTTGTCTTTAAGATTAGTCTATGTCCTGCCTTAGGGTCTAGACTATCTGTGTACCAAATTCCATTTAAATCGGTTCAGTAGTTTTGACGTTAAAGAACGACAAACAGATAGAGTTAACTCTTTTTTAGTCTTTAAGATAAGTCTATGTCCTGCCTTAGGGTCTAGACTATCTGTGTACCAAATTTAATTTAAATCGGTTCAGTAGTTTTGACGTTAAAGAACGACAAACAAATAGAGTTAACTCTTTTTTTTGTCTTTAAGATAAGTCTATGTCCTGCCTTAGGGTCTAGACTATCTGTTTACCAAATTCCATTAAAATCGGTTCAGTAGTTTTGAAATGAAAGAACGACAGATAGAGTTAACTTCGCATTTATAATAATTAGTAAGGATTGTAATACATACCAATATAACAGCATAGGACGTTCCTACCGCGTCAACAGCTAGCAAGCAATTTGAACTAATATCGGCATATTCACACTTCAATCGATCGCTATGTCTGTACATGTATATACGTTATTGTTAACCGACTTGAAAAAAAAGTGAATTGTTTAAATTCCACAGCAATCCTTACTAAGAAATAAGGTTTGTCATCGAATTGAACAGTAAGGACTAATATTATAAATGCAAAAGCAACTGTGTCGGTCTATCTCGCTTTGACGCTAACCCTACTGGACCGATTTAAATGGAATTTGGTACACAGATAGTCCAGACCCTGACATAGGCTGGGCTAAAAGGGGAAATGAAAGTTTTTATGGAAATATCGTCATTTTTAATGCTGGAAGCTTAATATATTTTTTTAGATTGTTGATTAAATATAACATTCGAGTTTTTAAAAAATTTACCCTTAAGGGAGTAAAATAAAATAGGGGATGAAAGTTAGTATAGAAAATCAGTTCAGAAAAGATCCGAATCTCTCCGACGTTATCGAGCCACTTAGCTTGAGGCGAGACTTCGCTTCGCTTTGTGTGTTCTACCGATTATACAACGGACTGTGTTCTGAGGAATTGTTCGACATGATACCTACGGCTGATGTAGATGTAGATGTAGGTTGGACTCCATTTTCCGCAATTGGCCTCTCATTCGGGCCGTTGTGCGTGTAGAGCCAGGCTACTAACATAGCCAGTCAAGCTCCTCCCAGAAGCGCAGAAGTCTCCTGGTGTCTTCGCAGGCTTCTCGGAGCGACCTCACCGTTCCGAGGATTTGATTTCGTTGTGTGGTCACTGCTTCGCACTCCAGGATTACGTGAGCGGCCGTTTCCTCGGCTACAAAGCAGCCCCGGCATAGGGGACTGTCTGTAGCACCTATTTTGTACAAATGTCTGTTTAAGGGACAGTGGCCCGTCATTGTCCCTATCATTGTTTTTATGTTATGCCTGTCTAGATTTATGAGGCGGTACTAGATACCTGATACAAATACATAGATATATTTATTTTTTCGTAAATACATGCGTAGAAAATACCCAGACCGATACAAACAATCATACTCATGAATATAAATGTTTGTGCCGTGCGAGGAATCGAACCCGCGACCATCGGAAGGAAGGCAGTGTGCTAAACCGCTAGACCACCGGGGGCGTCAGAACTTCCTCCCGCGTACACTTAAATTGTGGAATGTGTAGTACATTCCACAATTCCACACTTAGCTTGAGGCGAGACTTCGCTTCGCTTTGTGTGTTCTACCGATTATACAACAGACTGTGTTCTGAGGAATTGTTCGACATGATACCTACGGCTACTGTTTACCATCGCACCGCTCGCCATCGACAGGGAATTCATCCCCACACTCTGGAAACTCAGTGATCTCGTACAGTTTGGTTTCAGAGGAGCTTCCTCCCGCGTACTCTTAGATTGTGGAATGCACTACCTGCCGAGGTTTTCCCACGAGACTAGAGCATGGGGTTTTTCAAGAAGGGTATATTAAGATTTCTTAAGGGTCGGCAACGCGCTCGTGACACCCCTAATGTCTCGGGCGTCCATAGCCATAGTCCGTAACCATTTACCATCAGATGGGCCGTATGCTTGTTTGCCACCATCACAGTATAAAAAAAAATATTAATCAATTTCCTTAATAAAAAAATGTTACAAATCTTTACAAGCAATTTTGAACCACTTGGAATAAATATAAATAATGATATATGTGGTACATATGAATTGCTTGTATAAAAATGTATAATTTTTCTGTGCAATTGTACTGAGCTTCGTTATCGCAGATTGCTATTATCAGTGTCGTATCAGTAAAAGCTCTAGTGCCTGATAACGGTGCTTTTATGTTTCTGATTTTGGCATTTTGTGTTTTATTGAAATTAGTACCTACATTTTCCTTCTGTTTTTGTCATATATCTAGACTAGTAAGCACAGTTACTTAGAGTCAACAAGAAACCATACCATATATATCTTCTTTCAAATAATGTATTTTTCTATGCAGTGAAAAAAAATGTAGTGTTGTATGTATATATATATATATATACTACTAGACAGACAACTGATATAAAAACGTGGATTTTTTCGTAAATACATACATAATATATATAGTAAACACCCAGACCGAAACAAACAATCGTACTCATGAATACAAATATTGTACCGGAATCGAACTCGCTGCCAACGAAAGTAAGGCGGTGCTATATCGCTAGGCCACAGAGGTCGTCAATATATGTACATATATGCCTCCTACGTTTCGTTTTTATAACACAAATATTTTGTTTCGATCAGCCTCCTTACGACCCACTCAAGTACCACATTATCTGCACCTATAGATCTATACATATAAATAAAATTGGAGTGTCTGTTTGTAATATTGGAATAACCGTCTTTTACTACATGCATATGAATATAAGTACCGGTACATGCACCAAAATATTACTATTTTTGTCTGTTTGTTCCGGCTAATCTCTGATATGGCTGGACCGATTTTGACGGCACTTTTTTGGCAGTTACCTGATGTAATATGGAGTAACTTAGGCTACTTTTATTTTAGAAAAATAAAGTTAAATTCCACGCGGACGAAGTCGCGAGACAACCAGTATTACATAAAACCTGAAATGTATGAAAAATAAAGTGATATATTTTTGTTACAGGTAAGGCGAAGGATTTATTATATAACATAAACATTAGTGGTGAGTTTTTTTTATTCATCCATCCATTAAAATAAAATGTTTGCTATTCGCCACAGAAATCCAGAGTTCAGCTGCGAATGGCAAACATTCAGGAACATTCATCTATATATATATAAATAAAATTGGAATGTCAGTTTTGTAATATTGAAATAACCGTCTTTTACTACATGCATATGAATATAAATACGGTGCATACACTCAAATAACATTTTTTAAAATTTTTGTCTGTCTGTCTGTTCCGGCTAATCTCTGAAATGGCTGGACCGATTTTGACGGGACTTTATTTGCCAGGTTGCTGATGTAATAAGGAGTAACTTAGACTACTTTTATTTTAGAAAAATAAAGTTAAATTTCACGCGGACGGAGTCGCGGGTACAGCAGGTACATAATAAATCATATTATGAACAGACACTCCAATTTTATTTATATGTATAGACTATACAAAAAAAACTCAATGTTTTGTGATACGATTCCTCGAGTAATAAAACTTGTCGTAAATCTCCTTCCATACTTTCACAGCCTTCTTATATGGAAACTCTTTCATTGTGACCTCCTTATCGATGTCCAGTAGTCGAGGATTTGACGGGTCCACCATCTCCCAGCGAGGTTTGCTGCTGTGCTGAGGAGTGGGATTTCTAAAACCAATTAAATATGCAGTGAGAACAATAATTCGTGATCTTTGTGTCTCGCAAATAATGCACTTGATTGACCAATTTTCCACTAGCTCTCTGTTTAAAGAAAATTAAGAAAAGTAGCCTAAATTACTCCTTATAACATTAGCTATCTGTGAGTGAAAGTCCCGATGTGGGGGTTTAAGCCCACGGTTCCGTGATAATGCTATTGATTGATTGATGAGGGGTTTTTGATAAATAAAACCGCCTTGGTTGAATGCTACTCGAACACTGATTTTTATTACTAAAATAAATATAATGAGGTGAAATGTATAGAAATGAAATTGCATGTGTAGGCAATTGTGTATTGCACAGTAAGCAGGCATGTGCGGTTGCCCGTACACCCGATAAAATCGGTCTAGCCGTTTCAGAGATTAACAAGAAGAAGCAGACAGACGTAGAATTTTACTCTATATAACAAAAAAGCACTGTATATATAAAAATAAATCATGACGATAAGTTTTTTACATTTGCACTCATGATATAAAAGAGATTACATGATAATATTGTCATGGTGTAACGAAAATGGTAAAGTGTGCAAAATTATAAAACCAGCGCCGCACAGGAGCATCCTGTCGCCATAAGCTGAACCGGGTCCTCTTTCCGCCTTTATTTAAGTATCCTTTAAATGTATTTCTTTCGTGTAATTTAATAACAAGCTTTATCTTTTTCTTAAAAAAATTGAATCAAATTCATAACTTACAAAAATTTCACAAAATTGGACCACAACCGCACCATTGTCTGTTGCATAGCCTCATCGTCGCCTTCTAAGTCCTCATCGGAGAACAAATAAGCCAGTTCATCGGAGTGGGCTGCTCCCACCTTCACGATTCCTGGTTCAGGCTTCACACCAACATTTCCAGTGTAAGAGAACTGGTAATAATATACAGTCTGATCAGCAACGGACGAGTGAAGAGACACACTTCTATGTATGTGACTCACGAAATATGCATCTCTGTAAACACCAATATTCTTATGATCAAAATTCAAAATATCTTCATTCATGTAGGTCTATTACAGACTCTTATGATATGTCAAATCTACCGTTAGTTCGGAATGATTTCGAGATGAGAAGAATTGACAAGAAACTCAGCTCGTATTCTTTTCAAATAAATGTTGTACATGTTTACAATAATACAAATCCATTTAAATATAGAGAATAGAATGACCACCAGCACAACAATATTGTAGAAAAATCCGATTTTCTAAAAATATTAAAAGATGTTGTTTCATTATTACTCGGTATCGTTAAACTAATTGCATATAACCCACACGCATCTCTGTGTGTGAGAAAGGAGTTTTTATAAGCCACGGCATTTGATCGACAAGCACAGAACGTGCCTCGTTCCTATTCTTTTCAAATAAATCTTGTACATGTTTAAATAATACAGATTCATTTTTAAATTCAAATTTGGGAGAATAGAGTGATCACCAGCATACGCTATTGCAAAAGCAAGTAGTCTAATCAGTGTTCGTAACTCGATCAGACCAGTCCCCACAAGCAGCACCCGGTCACGAGATCCTTTATTTTACTGCATTATAAGTGAACACTTTTCCATGGATACTTTTGTCTCAACTATTTCAGCTGCCAAGATGATTGTAAGCTGTGTTTTTTAAAACCTGAGATATGGTAGTAGAGTTACAGGATACTGAGGGAGGAAATCTTAGTCTACTGCAAGTGCAGTGCATGAGGCTACCTGGGGCATTACATGATAACGTGATGTCCATTGGTTGATAGTTACCATGAAGTGCACCGTTAACTAGTTTCCTATTTCAATAGAAAAACTATTACAGACATTTTCCCTAATCCTATTGGTTGATTTAACAAAATCATTTAATAATGCTGCTACATACCTGTGATAGGCTAACGCGGCAGCTAAACTGCTGTTGTCTTTGAAATACATATCTTCAATTTGTCTAACAACTTGCTTCACTTCTCTCTCATTCATAAACTTCAATTCTTCTGGTAGCAGAAATGATAAATCTTTACTTACTTTCTTGCGCACGTTAGCTTGCCTGAGCATTGTCGCAAATACATAAGCTTCGTTATTATTATAGCCTATCATTATAGGCACAGTACGACCTCCATGTTTAAGCAATTCGTACGGTGCGTCATCTAGTAATCGTTCTTTGCTTTTAATTGTTTCTACGCCTATTCCAAATGGAAAATACGGTACATCTAGTTTATCACACTTCGAAACTAATTCTCCGATGTCGCTGTTTATTAGAACAGAAGTAAAATCATCAGTGTCTGAAATTAGTTTGCCTAAAGCCATAGCTCTTTCTGTCATATCATAATTAAACGCCCAAGGACACAGTATACTACCACTTTGCAATATCACTCCATGGTATAAATTATGTGACATTGGTGATAGCGTTACAGCTTCCACCATAGCTGCTCCAAAACTCTGTCCAGCTATAACTACTTTATTTGAATTACCTTTAAATGCTACTATGTTATCCCTAACCCATTGCAAAGCGAGAACTACATCTTTAACGCCCGCGTTTCCTGGCACGTTCTCGTCGTTCGTGCCAAGGAATCCAATTGGACCGATTCTGAAATACAAAATAAGTTGTTCTTTAAAAATGAATTTAAAATCTTATTTGTATAAAGTCTAAACTTGCACAAATCTCGTTCTTGTTATAGAAATAGCAATAATCTTTATTAAACTTAATATAAACACTTTTGAATAGTCTTTTTTTTATTCTATCACTCATTCGGAACGCAGACTCCATCCCAAGAAGAATGAACAAGAAACTTTTGCGTTAATCTTTTGAATAAATTTGGTTTAAATAAATACACATTAACAAGGGTAAGGCATAGTCTATTGTTCACTTACCTATGACTAACAATAACAACAATTATATCCTGCCCGACCAATTTACCAGGATGGTACGTACCACTGCCACCTTTTACCCAAACGAGGACTGGCCACAGGGAATTCTTTTTGGAAGGGACATAAATGTCCAAATGCAGACAGTCTTCGGCTCTGGAGAAGAAGGAGCAATGAAGCTGTTCTGATTCCCGGATCCCGGTCCATATTGGTGCGAAACTGCCTTTCTGAAATAATAATAGACCTGGACAGTTCGTGTATTCAGCTAGTGATATGGGTATTAAACAACTGATTAAAATTAAAATCGATGGCCTCAGTTGTTTAGCGATTTAGCACAGCGCCTCACTTCCGATGGTCCAAATGAAATGTACATACCTCCTAATAATAATTTACTTTAAAAAAGAATCTGTTTCTTTAATCATGTACAAGCTCATTTGAAAAGAATAAGCGCTGAGTTTCTTGTCGGTTCTTCTTACCTCGAAAGCACTTCGATTTGACATATCATGAGAGTCTGTAATGGACCTACATTAATAAAGATATTGTTCAAAATCTACCCTGTATCATCGTAAGCACAGATTATTATATTAGAGTCCGTTAGGTTTGTGTTCCCGCGTCTTTCCTTCCCCTCCCTTACCTAGTAACGAACCGACTGTACGGCGGCCATGACGCGCGCGCATTGTGTTGTGAATTAAAATAAATTAGAACTGTGAAACCTACTGTGAAAGTGTGTGAAAGCTAGCGAAGATATCTTCGAGACCCTGAAGCCCAAGAAATCCGCAGAACCATACAGGTACATGACTGACGCTTCCATCATTTTTCACTATATATATACAGAGAGTAAATTCCCTAACATTTTGGTAGCAGAGTAGTTTCCCAAACAGATATTTTGATTATAATTTGTATAAATGTAGTATTTGGAGCAAAACTTACTAATTTCTATCACATTCATGCGAACAAAGTCGTGAGGTTAAATTAGTATTATTATACAAGTAGGAACATGTCTGTTTAGTTCTCTATTTAGGTTGTATTGGTTGTCAAAAACTACTAAACGTATTTATACGAGAATTAGCAAATACAAGTTCAAGTTTGAAGTCCAAAGTACAGTACCAATTTATAAAACGAAGTTGTTTTTTTATATAAGTAGAATTGCAAACAAGAGGACGGTAACCTGATGGTAGGTGGCAACCGTCTGAACAGCAGTAAACAAAGTAAAAAAACTGACTTTTAAAAAAAATCTGTATATTGAACTGGACGGTAGGGAAAAGTCATATACAAAATAACGTAGATATACAAATAATACAAAAATTTGACGTTCATAAGCGGATAAAATGTCCTATATGAATAAATTGATTTTTTATTTAATTTGAAGGTTTGAAGATTTGATTATCTGCGGATCGAAATCTCGATGGCAGTCAATCGTGATTTTCAATCACAACCTATTAATTGATTATTTATTTCATTACTAACTGTGCCTGCGACTTTGTCCGCGTGGAATGACTTTGACCAAATAAATTAAAAATACTCAATAATCTAACCCAATAAAAAAAAACAAAGAAAAAAGTTTCATCGTTCTAACTGCAAAAATAACGAATTTCCATGCAACCTTTTATCTCCCCTTTCTACCCCTTATAACCCTTTTTTTTAATATTAAATCAACACCCTAGTTTCAAACTTTAAAATTGACGATAATTCTCTACAACATTTCATTACCCCTTTCAACCCCTTACAACTCTCTATTTGTATTAAAAAAATAGCCTATGTCCTTTCTCTGGGTCTAGACTATCTGTGTACTAAATTTCTTTCAAATCGGTTCAATAGTTTTAGCGTAAAAGCGAGACAGGCAGAGTTATATTATAGATATAAGGATATTGTACTTACTTTGAACCTTTCTGAAGAGTTACTGATTGTAGCATAAGGAATACCGGTGTACAACACATATCCATCGTGAGGTACACCTCTCAGCTTACCCTGAGCGGTGTTTATCACATTATCACAATTGATCATCACAATTACAGTCAGCAACAATATCGATTGCCACATTTTCTAGTCTAGTTCTCTGAAAAAATCAATTCGATAATAACTATAATGTTTTTTTTTCGCCAAGGACATCCGGTCGTTATTCAAATTCAAAATCAAAAATCATTTATTTATTTTAGCCGCTTATGAACGCATTTTTTTTTTATATTATTTTAGTTTTTCTTTGAACCCTAACATGTTCAATATTGTACTTAGCTACAATTTTATATCTTTTACTTAAGTTGATGTTATTTCTTACTAGTACTATTACTATCTCTACATCTATACATATAAATAAAATTGGAGAGTCTGTTTGTAATACTGAAATAACATTTTTTACAATTTTTATCAGTCTGTCTGTCTGTCTGTTTGTTCCGGCTAATCTCAGAAATGGCTGGACCGATTTTGATGGGACTTTTATTGGCAGGTAGCTGATGAAATAAGGAGTAACTTAGGCTAGTTTAATTTTAGAAAATTAAAGTTAATTTACACGCGGACGAATCGAAATCTATACTAGACATTTCAATATATATCTAGAATTCTAGATTATATATTATACTATAGATCTATTCAAAAGAACAACACACAAGTTTCTTGCTCATTCTTCTTATGAAGCCTGCGTTCCGAATAAGTGGTAGAATAAAAAATATGACTATTCAAAAGTGCTTGTATTAAGTTTATTTGAATAAAGATTATTTCTAGATCTTCTGTACGTTATATAGAATTAATGAGTATGTTTTTTTTTTAATACTCACGGTAAATGGAAAATAGCGTTTCGCGTCGCCACACTTTTCAGCCGCGTGACGTGATTTAGCAACAGAATTACAAGTACCATATTGATGATTGGTGGTTACTGTGCGATGGCAGCTTCCATAACAATAACAATATACGCTGGCATGCAGTTCACAGTTGAATGTTTTCAATTTACGACTATCGTATCACTATCACAATCAAGCTTTTGTTTGCTTCTACTGTTGATATTACTATTTTGTTTTGTGTTAATACTTGTTGACATATTGTGGATACGTTTTTTTAAACTACAACTAGCTGTTCCCGCGGCTAAAACTTTATTTTTCCTAAAATAAAAGTAGCCTAAGTTAGTCGTTATTACATCAGTTACCTGCCAAAAAAGTGCCGTCTAAATCGGTCCAGCCATTGCAGAGATTAGCCGGAATAAACAGACATATAGACAGATACAAATTGTAAATAATGTTATTTTAGTGTATGGTACCGTATTTATATTCATATGCATGTAGTAAAAGACGATTATTTCTATATTACAAACAGACACTCCAATTTTATTTGTTTATATAAGTAGATTATAGACGTTTTATATGTATATAATGTTTTTTTTAGAAATACTCACGGTAAATTAAGAATAGCATACATATACAATGGTGGCAAATAAGCATACGGCCCATCTGATAACTAATTACCGTAGCATATAGATGCTTGATATACCAGGGGTGAAACGTGCGCGTTGCCGACCCTTAAGAAACCTTAATACCCTTCTTCAAAAACCCCAAGCTGTAGTCTCGTGGGAAAACCTCGCCAGTAGTGCAGAATGCACTACAATCTAAGAGTACGCGGGAGGAAACTCCTCTGAAACCAAACTGTACGAGATCACTGAGTTTCCAGAGTGTGGGGATGAATTCCCTGTCGATGGCGAGCGGTGCGATGGTAAACAGTAGCCGTAGGTATCATGTCGAACAATTCCTCAGAACACAGTCCGTTGTATAATCGGTAGAACACACAAAGCGAAGCGAAGTCTCGCCTCAAGCTAAGTGTGGAATTGTGGAATGTACTACACATTCCACAATTTAAGTGTACGCGGGAGGAAGTTCTGACGCCCCCGGTGGTCTAGCGGTTTAGCACACTGCCTTACTTCCGATGGTCGCGGGTTCGATTCCTCGCACGGCACAAACATTTATATTCATGAGTATAATTGTTTGTGTCGGTCTGGGTATTTTCTACGTATGTATTTACGAAAAAATAAATATATCTATGTATTTGTATCAGGTATCTAGTACCCATAACACAAGCTTTAGCTAGCTTAACTTGGGTCTAGATGGCGCTGTGTGAATTGTCCTGAGATTATTATTATATTATATTTATTTATGTTGGTAGTTTGTATTCACACGTTTCGACTTGTAAAATGTGAACTTACAAGGATTGTTTAAGAGCAACACACAAGTTTCTTGCTTATTCTTCTTGTGATGAGACAGCTTTCCGAATAAGCGGTAGATTTTAATAAAAATTGTTGACTATTCAAAAGTGCTTAAATTAAGATTATTTGAATAAATGATTTTCTATTTCTATTATTATTATGATATTATTATTATTACTTTCTCTTAAAAAAAAGTTCCTCTAAAAACGCACTGTCAGCGATCACTTAGGTTCTAGTATGTAAGATATACTATTGCCTAATCTGGTAATTACCTCTATCTTGATAATCATTTGCATCTTACGGATGGACCACTCTTGCCTTTGGAATATGAAAAAATTGTTTACGTCCAATCTCAGAGCTACTGATACACAAAATTTCATAATAATCGATCAAGCCTTTTCGGAGGAGTTTTGTTACAAACATTGTGACACGAGAATTTTATATATTAGAGGATTTTATCTATACATCTATACATATAAATATAAAATTGGAATGTCTGCTTGTAATATTGAAATAACCGTTATTTACTACATGCATATGAATATAAATACGGTACATACACCAAAATAACATTTTTTTACAATTTTTGTCTGTCTGTCTCTCGATGTGTTTGTTCCGGCTTATCTTTGCAATGTCTGGACGGATTTTCACGGGACTTTTATTGGCAGGTAGCTGATGTAATAAGGAGTAACTTAGGCTACTTTTATTTTAGAAAAAAAATTCACGCGGACGATTTCGTGGGAGCAGCTAGTATATAGTATGTTATATATTATATATTAGATAAGTCCCTAATATTTACGTTTATGAATGAAACATGTTTATACAATGTGTGTACTTTTATTTCGTCCGTTCAGAACATTTCCGGACATGTATGCTGTTTCCTCAATTAAAATAATTACAACGAATTGTATTATCTATACACATAAATAAAATTGGAGTGTCTGTTTGTAATATTGAAATTACCATTTTCTACATGCATATTAATATAAATACGGTACATACACCAAAATAGCATTTATAACAAATTTTGTCTGTCTGTTTGTTTCGGCTAATCTCTGAAATGGCTGAACCGATTTCGACGGGACTTTTTTGGCAGGTAGCTGATGTAATAAGGAGTAATCATAATTTTTCTACGTAACACCCAAATGCTGTAATACCAGTCAAATTTTTTTTATATATAACATATATCTATACATATAAATAAAATTGGAGTGTCTGTTTGTAATTTTGAAATAAACGTTTTTTTTTTTCTACATGCATATATAAATATGGTTACACCAAAAGCCAAAATACACCAAAAAACTTTTTTTAACAATTTTTACCCCTCTGAGAAATGAAATAACTCATTTTATGAATAATTTCAATACACCATGAAATCATTACATATTATAAAACAAAGTCGCTGTCGCTGTCTGTTCCTATGTATGCTTAAATCTTTAAAACAACGCAACGGATTTTGAAGCGGTTTGTTTTTATAGATAGAGTGATTCGAGAGGTTTTTATTTATATAATACATGTACACCCGTGAGAATCCGGGGCGAGTGGGGGAAAGAGGATTGTTAATAATGTGGACTTATAATCTTATTGCTAACAATGTACCATGTCAGGTTGACCTCCACGCGGTTGCCCCTGGAAACCATCGTGATAAATTCCTGGTGAATCTGTCACGATGTTGACCTCCACGCGGTTGCCCCTGGAAACCGTCGTGATAAATTCCTGGTGAATCTGTCACGATGGGCTAACTGACCTGACCTCATGCTCATCTTATCATCCTCCACTGGTGCCAGTGTGTGGTAAACCGTTAGCTAAGGCACCATTCCATTATCATTCATAAAAAAAAATCCGGAGCGAGAGTTACCATGGCGTAACGCCTGGTAAATTGCTGTGCGTGGCACAATAAGCTGATACCGCTACCGGGAACAGCAAATTACCACGAATATTGCCACCTAACATCAATTATTAATTGTGACATTTTACAGTAGTCTTGGTCGATCATTAGACATAATTATACATTTTGTACTTTAATAATTTCATTGTTTTAATTAAATAAAATATATTTTTAAAAGGCAAATATCGCCCGCCGTAACATAAGTCGAGTATTGTATTATGTGAAATGTGAATACTATAAACATCAGATGGCAATTGTGAGTAGCTATGACGTGGTCTGGTGTTTTGAGTAGTCATGCTCACTAAAATGTCCAGACTTGTGGCGGCGTGGTGGGCCGGGTCATTGGGCTCCCTAAAATATGGTCGAGCGCAGTGATGGCTGGCTCATCCATCATACTCGTGAACGGGTGCTGCTTGTAGGGACTGGTCTGCTCTAATCACTATGACTGATTTCCTCTTATTAATTGTTTAACCAGTTGGTTATGTATTCAATATTTTTTTCTTTTTGAGTATTTAATTGAATTAGTGCTAATCGGTGGTTTGTATTCACACACTTAAACTTAAATTGTAAGTAAGACTTTTTAAAAGAGTATTTAATTGAATTAGTGCTAATCGGTGGTTTGTATTCACACACTTAAACTTAAATTGTAAAAAAAGTTTCTTGCTTGTTCTTCTTGTGATGAGACAGCATTCCGAATGAGCTAGATTAAAAAAAATGTTATGACTATTCAAAAGTGCTTCAATGTAAGTTTATTTGAATAAATGATTTTCTATTCTATTCTATTCTATTCTATTCTATTCTATTCTATTCTATTCTATTCTATTCTATTCTATTCTATTCTAATAAGTTCATTAACAAAATAATAGATGGCGCCACATGTCCGTGTAATCTCAGATTCTAAAATTTACTTTCCTTCAAACATGTTTATACATTACTAGCTATCCGCCCCGGCTTCACACGGATGTACATGTATTATACATGTAACTAATCCTCTTGAATCACTCTATCTATGGCTAAGAATTTCATTAAAATCCGTTGCGTAGTTTATAAGATATAACCGAGCAGACAGTGGCGGAGAATTCATTTTATATGTAACTATCTTTTGCCCGCGGCTTCGCTCGCGTTAATTTATCCCCTTAGGGGTGGAATTTATCAAAATCCTTTCTTAGAGGATGCTTACGTCATAGTAGCTTTATGCATGCAAAGTCTCAGCCCGATCGGTTTAAAATTGACAAAGTTTCATACAAACTTTCATCCCCTATTTTATCCCCTTGGGGGTAGAATTAATCAAAATCCTTTCTTAGCGGATGCCTGCGTCATAACATCTACCTGCATGCCAAATTTCAGCCCGATCCGTCCAGTGGTTTGGGCTGTGCGTTGATAGATCACTATGTCAGTCACCTTTGACTTATATATATTTAGACTAGTTACCCACCCCGTCTTCGCACGATTGTACATGTCTTATACATATAAACCTTCCTCTTGAATCACTCTATATATTAAAAAAAAAAGACTTCAAAATCCGGTGCGTAGTTTTAAAGATTTAAGCATACATAGGGACGGACAGGTAGCGACAGCTACTTTGCTTTTTTTATATACCACGTAGGTGGCAAACAAGCATACGGCCCATCTGATGGTAAACGGTTACCGTAGCCTATGTTTTATACTATGTAATAATGAAGATATAATCTTCATTGATAAATGTAGCTTTCTATAAATGAAAGGATTTTGAAAATTGATTGATTTTTTTATTTACATTACAAATTACAAAATGTATATGGAATTCAAAAACGTTTGGCGTTAATAACTTTTGTATTTAAAATATAATACAATAAAAAAAAAATAAGTGGGCGTCCATAAATTACGTGAGATGTTTAAGGGGAGAGGGTTGAGTCAAATCTCATCTAATCTTACTTTGGAGGGGGGGTCTCGGCAAATATCACGCAATTTATTTTTATGATAGAAACAAAAAAAAATTATACTATTTTGGTCCATTTAATCCAGACTGTACATGCTTATTACACTTATAACTCTCAGCAATATTGATTACTAGTCTTAACTAGTCGTACATAAATCACGAAGCAATTTCTTTTTCTTTTTACAATAACAATCCAAGGCACAAGAAACCTACATTTTGAAAAATCTCACGTGAGATTGGGGTTTGGGGGAGGGGGTTGAATAAAATCTCACGAGGGGTGGGGGGGTAGTAGAGGAACAGATAATTAAATAAAACGCCTCACGTAATTTATCAACTCCCCTTAAAATCGATGGTTATATTTTAGAATTGGGAAAAGTATTTTTACAAGAAATAAAATAAAAATGTCTATAGATTCAAGAGTTATTATCTTTTAAGCACTGTTTCTGCCACATATTGTATGATTGTAAACATTATAGGATGTTATTGTAGGCTTTGGATAATATTTTGTCTATAGTATTGAAGAGTAATAATATGCTCAAATCACATCATCTTCTCTATCACCTTAAACTCTTAAATGTTCTTATAACTTAATTGGCGACCTGTCCCAGCTTCATCTGAGTACAATTAGCGTAAGGGTTTCTTTTATTAAAAAAAAAATAACCTCTTATAATGTATCTCTGTAATAAATTAATCAATTATTGAAATCGGTATAGCATTTTACACTAAAACATTTTTTTTTCCCATATTCGTCCATCTCCTTTTCAGTGATGGAACAGGCAAAGATCCTTAGACCGTACAGCCTAGTCTACTTTTAAACTTCTTCATATTTGATTAACGTAAATACATTACAAAAACTTTTAGGTGTTTTTTTATACTATGACTTTGGCAACAAGCATATGTAATAAAATTGTTATAGTATTTCAAAGTATAACATTACAAAAATCTTTACTTTTATTATACTACGACGCTATTTCGGATAAAAATGTGGTCGAGCGCAGTGATGGCTGGCTTATCCGTCATACTCGTGAACGAGCTGCTTGTAGGGACTGGTCTGCTCTTATCACTACGATTGATTTAATCTTATTGTGTTTTTAAATTTAGCTTAAATAAATTAGTGCTGGCTAGTAGTTTGTATTCACATGTTTCGATTTATAAAATGTGAACTTACAAGGATTGTTTAAAAGAGCAAAACACAAGATTTTTGCTTATTGTTCTTGTGATGTTACAGATTTCCGAATGAGCGGTAGATTTAAAAAAAAATTGTTGACTATTCAAAAGTGCTTAAATTAAGTTTCTTTGAATAAATGATTTTCTATTCTACGCTGGCAAAGATACTACTCATCTGATGGTAAACGGTTACCGTACCGTTACCACTTTATATTAGTTTTGACAACACACTTGACAGTAATTGTCAGTAACAGTGCCCAGATTGTGATGGACAAATTTAATCAATGATCCCAAATATATTTATACACTGACCCACACCACTTTTGTTGTACTTAATGATGGTTTCCATAAGCTTACAGCGACGTCCATTAGTTAATTGACACCTTCACCCTATAACTAATCTAATTTTAGCACTAAACTTAGTAATACAATTGCTTAAACGAAATTATAACAGTTTCAAATGGTTTTGCAATTTCATTCTGAAATTATTCTGAAATTGCAGTACATCATCAGTCTATAGATTGTCTGTAGAGTAACTTTTAATTGAATTGGAACCGTGTAGTTTCGATTTTAGTTTTCTTATATTACCATTTATCATCTTTGCTTTAACTTTGTCCCATTATTTGGGATCGGCGTATTGTGGTCTTCCGCTGATGCTGAGTCCGTCATATCTAAGCGTGCTTCCCTTTGTGCTAATCTTTCACACACTATCCATCTTTTCTTATGTTGTCCCTTCCCTTTATGTCCATCCACAGTCATATTCAATATCTTCATTGTATTATAATACAGTTTCTATTTCTCTGCATGGCATAATATTTACATTTATAGCATTGTCGAATGTTTATATGAAATTTATTAACAATTCTGTATCGACAAATTAAGAAATATCACTTGGTATTTTTTTCAGACCTGATTACGATTCTATCCCTTTTAAATCAGCTTTCTAGATACCTTAGTTTCACTTATTGTAAATGATCTATCACAACACACTTTGGAGTATATTTCACTATTAAATGTATAGGATCATAGATTGCGTTTGGATCAATTTAAAGGCTTTAAGCTTGTGTAAGACGCTCAAATAAGAATTAATAGATAATTGTACATAACTTAATCATTATATAGTGAGATCATTTTAGTATCTATTATACTATTATTAAATATATACATATGATCCTATAAATTATAACAGTGTAATGTTCTACCGAATCAAACTTTTCAATTTGAATCCATATTGTAGTCATTGTCTCTTTCACGTTCTCTTGTTATTCTTCACTAGAGAATCGAAGAACCTCTTCATAGCTAGCTGTTTTTCTGTAGCATTTTTGTAGTTATAAATACCAGGTGTAACTATGTTTTGATACCGCAGTTCGCCATTGTTCAATGTTGGCCACGTGTCATCACCATATCCGCTATTTGATGGCTGACTGGAAATACAGAAAGACAAAATGTTATCTATGGTTCTGTAGAGGTGATCTAATACTGGAATGCAAACGAAAAATTGTACAAATTGTATAATTCTTATTAAATTACATAATATTTAGAAGTAACATTATATTAAGCTCGAATATGTACTTAAAATTAAAAGCACTCTAGGTTGTATTTCAAACAGGCTTTTTAAATATTTAAATAATGACCCTATGCATAATAATTTTATAATTACCTCGAATATACGAAGTTCGTAAAGAACATTGTCATCCAATCCTTCATAGGCTCTTGGTAATCTTTGGAAAATATGCTATCTCTGCCTAAAATTGAATTAGAACGGAAAATGTAAGTCAAATCTTCTATGTGCCCTGCACCTTTAAAACTTATATCAAGGCCTTGTTTTATGACACTGTGGTCGTTGTTATACGAAAACTGGTAGAGAAACACGGGAGCTCCATCCAAAGCGGCTCTGGTTGTGGCTAACTTGATTGCAGGGTATATGAAATTACTGTCAGAACATAATCTCACGAAACCGTCCATATCTACAGTACCGTTGAAATATCGGTCATGGATCGCATCTGATACACTTTGTACAACATTCGGAGGCATTGTGTAAATCAATTGTAGAGGAACCACCAAAGTTGGTGTAACTTTTATCTGGGATATAATGTCTACCTGTTCAAATCTAGGTCTAAATGTTTCACATTCGACATCAGTGAATCCTATAACTATGGGATAATCTTTTCCATGACCTTTAGTTACAAGGATCTCTGGGTCGTCAGTTAGAATTGCGGTCACCCCTGGTAGGGTGATTCAACAACTGGTACGAATGTAGTCGCGCCAATTAAGTCAAGTATATAAGCATTTGCTTCAACGATTTTATCAATTGGAGTGTTGATTAGTTGCTGATGTACGTCCTCGGGGTCTGTAGAGTTGATACCCAAAACTCCCAGCAGAATATTGGCCACGAACTGAGCATACGCTGGAGAAGTTGTGAAGAAGTTTGTTGAACCCACGCCACTCATTAACCATACCCTGAAAGAATTTATTTAGTCATTTAGCATTGTCTTTGAAAAATTATTTATTTCCTTAAAAAACAATTGGCTTATAATAATACAGTGTTGGTTTGTGAATGCCAGTGTTAGATACATCCCGCTCTTGCATATCTATTACCATATATGTTTTTTAAAAGAGAAATTTAAAACATTAATCTATACATATAAATAAAGTTGGAGTGTCAATTTGTAATATTGAAATGAATATAAATACGGCACATACACCAAAATATCATTTTTTGCAGTTTTTGTCTATCTATCTGTTTGTTCCGGCTAATTTCTGAAATGGCTGGACCGATTTTGACAGGACTTTTATTGGCAGGTAGCTACTGTAATAAGGAGTAACTTAGACTACCTTTATTTTAGAAAAAATCTCTAATTAAATTTTTTGTTAAATTCAATTAAATAAAGTCGCTAGCTAGCAGCTAGTATCCAAATATAAATAAGAAATATTGATTGTAAAACAATAGTGAATTAACACATCGTCAATTTATATTTAATAAATTATTATAAAAGAGTATTGCATTGATACTTTACGACAAAATGTCCATTATGTAATAAAGGTATGATTTTTATATATATGTACTTAAGTTGTACAGTCAGCTTCATATATATTTTTTATACTACTACGTTGGCAAACAAGCATACGACCCATCTGATGGTAAATGTTTACCGTCGCCTATGTACGCCTGAATCACCAGAGTGATTATATGCGCGTTGCCGAACCTTAAAAAACCTTAATATATCCTTCTTAAGAAACCCCATGCTGTAGTCTCGTGAGGAAACCTCAGCAGGTAGTTCATTCCAGAATCTAAGTGTATCTAAATATATATAACTAAAAGGTGACTGACTGATATAGTGATCTATCAACGCACAGCGCAAACCACTGGACGGATCGGTCTGAAATTTGGCATGCAGGTAGATGTTATGACGTAGGCAACCGCTAAGAAAGGATTTTGATTATTTCCACCTCCAAGGGGATAAAATAGAAGATGAAAGTTTGTTAATTTTAAACTGATCGGGCTGAGACTTTGCATGCATAAAGGTACTATGACGTAGGCATCCCCTAAGAAAAGATTTTGATGAATTCCACCCCTAAGGGGATAATAAACGCGAGCGAAGTCGCGGATAAAAGCTAGTACAATATAAATGATCAAGTTAAGTAACGAAAAATGAAATATCACCTATTGAACAATCCTTTTGCCGCATCGGACATTGAAAGTAGATGAGCGCTAGCGGCTCCCGCGCTCTGTCCCGCCAATGTCACGTTGTTGGGGTTCCCACCGAAAGATTTCACGTTCGTCTTCACCCACCGCAGCAGGGTTATCATGTCTCGGAGGCCATTGTTGCCAGGGATGCTGGTAGTGTTCAGGGATAAGAAACCGAATACATTCAATCTGTAAAAAGAAATGGACCAAATTTTTGTTTAAATCTCAACGAGGAGCGTGGATGTATTCGTTAAATAATTATAAAACACTAAATTGTAAATTAAATCGTAATTAATATTTATTAAAATGACGATATAATTAGTCGTGTAACAAAATATTGAAATAGAAATACAAATAGAAATAATCTTTATACAAATAAACTTAATATAAGAACTTTTGAATAGTCAAGTTTTTTTATTCTACCGCTTATTCGAAATGCAGATTCATCACAAGAAGAATTAGCAAGAAACCTGTGTGTTGCTCTTTTAAATGAATTGAAGAACAGAAAACCAAATGATAATCGTAATCATTAGTACACAGCGTTCTATATTGAAATATTATGAAGTAAATAATTGAGGATGTTTTAATAGCAATTTCTGTTGGAGTTTCCGACAAAGATGGTATCGTTGATTAAATAGTATAATGACATTTTTCAAAATTAGATGCTAGAATTGCCTCGTTTTATATAAGTCAATTAAATTCACCACGCCGTCTTATCATCATCTGCTTCTTCCTTTTCCCATTTATTTGGGGTTGGCGTAATATGTTTTTCGCTTCCATTCATCCCTGTTCGCAGTCATCGCGTTATTTACTTCCTTTCTTACCATGCCCTTATAACCATCCACATTCATATGTAATTTAAATAGCTTTCAATGCTTGCCTTGAAGCATAAAAAATTATTTAAATAAATTTAAAAAGCTATAAATCTTGTAGAAAATGTACATTTTTTGAATAGTGCCATTTTTCTATTTTACCGACGATATGTTTAATATTGGTTAAGTCAATTTTTGGACCTTGTCAACTGTCGGAGTCATGGCAATCTTAACCAACGAGATTTTCCTAAGTTTCTTGTCTATTTTTATTGACGGCCTCGGTGGGCCAGTGGTTTAGCGGTGTGCATTACTTCCGATGGTGGCAGGTTCGATTCCTCGCACGATGCAAACATTTGTACTCATGAGTATGATTGTTTGTATCGGTCTGGGTGTTTTATTATGTATGTATTATGTATGTGCTTACATTTGTACTCATGAGTATTATTCTTTGTATCGGTCTATGTATGTACTTACATAAAAATATCTAAGTATTTATATCAGTTGTTTAGTACCCATAACATAAGCCTGCTTACCGTGGGACTAGATGGCGCTGTGTTAATTGTTGAATCTCTATCACAATTATGATGGTAAATCGTTAAATCGGGGTTTAATATCATTATAATAAGTTCGTTATAATTAAAATTGTTTCTCTTCCTTAAAAAAAATATTTCTTTTAATAGTTCAGTAAACTCAGGATGAGGTAGGAAATTTTAATTTTAAAGGAAGATTTCAACCAGATTTTCAATATGTTAAAACTACAAGTCAAACTGTGGTAGACCAATAACCGTCGGTGCAGACGTGTCTTAACCAAGGTCGTTAGGCGGCACGTGTAAATCAAAGGACAGGTGAACCGAAACAGTGTTATAAAGTAAGTCATAAGTTGTTTTATAAACAAGATCAAGTAGTTTACACTAATAATAATGATACTTATATACATTACTAGCTAAATCCGCGGTTTTACTCGCATGAAATTTGTAGTCTATGTGTTATTGTAATGTATGTGCTATATTAGTGTAGTTTGACTAAAATCCGTTCAGGAGTTTTTGCGTGAAAGTGTAACAAACATCCTATATATATTACTAGCTAAACCCGCGGTTTCACTCGCATGAAATTCGTAGCCAATGTATAGAAGCTATATTAGTGTAGTTTTTTATATTTTTATATTAGTGTACTTTTTTTCTTCGACTGGCAACACCGACGACAATTGTCATTTTCTGCTCTTATCACTACGACTGATTTAATCTTATTGCATATTTATATTTGACCCAAAAATTAGTGCTTGTTGGTAGTTTGTATTCACACGTTTCGACTTGTAAATGTAAACTTACAAGGATTATTTAAAAGAGCAACACACAAGTTTCTTGCTCGTTCTTCTTGTGATGAGACAGCTTTCCGAACGAGTGGTAGATAAAAAACAAATTGTTATGACTATTCAAAAGTGCTTAAATTAAGTTTATTTGAATAAATGATTTTCTATTCTATTCTATTTTAACCAAAATCCGTTCAGGAGTTTTTGCGTGAAAGAGTAACAAACATCCATACTCATAAACTTTAGTGTTTATAATATTATGAAGATTAAGATGTTCAAGGCAATAATAATAACAGCATCCCTGGACAATTTATACAACGACATCTAGTCCCAAGATAAGCAGAACTTGTGTTATGAGTACTAGGCATCTGATATAAATACCTAGATTTATTTCTTAAATACTAAAACAGCTATTTAAATAATTGTATAATTTCAGTTTAACATATATTACAACCAATAATTATTTGAAACAATGAAATATATTGAAGTTTTTACAGTTTTTCAAGACAAAAGAAGTTTTCTTATCAACTTTTTTATATCTTAACCGACAATGACCAATATTGTTATTTTCTTGTTTCGATAATAAAGTTTTATTAAAAAAAAAATTACTTTGACATCTGAAGATTTGAATGACATTGACTTCTAAAGATGTATGTCAAATACATTAATCGATTAGATATTTATTCGATTATATTAATCGAATAAATATCTATTTTAGATGTATGTATGTTTTATACAAAATAAATGATAATTAATAAATAATTTTACAATACAGACACAAACAATCATCAATTCATACATATGAATACAAATGTTTGTAGCGAGGAATCGAACCCAAGAAGGAAGGAATGCGGTTAAATGAAGCATGCCGAGAAAAATCTCGCGAATTTGGAAGTTCCTTAAAGAATTAATTGCTTTGACTCGAGTAACGAGGAAATTAAATAACTCTTATCATTTCGAAGGTCATTTCGTCTGTATGTACTCAATATGAGTATATATAATAATAAAGTCGATATTTGGCCCGTAAGAACTGGATAAAACCGAACCTTATTGTAATGTCATAAGGTTTAGTCTTATCAAATCTCGTATCGGTCTCAGAAATCAGACACTGCTCAATATCACGTATGAACTCGCATCGGTTTGTTTTAATTACAACTAGCTGTACCCGCGACTTCGTCCGCATAAATAATGATAAAATATTTAATGACCCAAGCCAATAAAAGCAAAAAAAAAGTTTCATGGTTTTAGCTTCAAAAATGACAATTCTTCCATACAATCTCTCATCCCCCCTTTTAAACCCCTTACGACCCTTTTTTCGTATTCAAAAGTAGCATATATCCTTTCTCAGGGTCTAGACTATGTGTGTACCAAATTTCATTTAAGTGGATTCAGTAGTTGTGACGTGAACGCGAGACAGACAGACAGTTTTTTTTTTATTGTGGATGATAATGGAATGGTGCACCCGCCTGCGCTAACGGTTTACGCTGGCGGGGCACCAGTGAAGGATGATAAGATGAGCATGAGGTCAGGTCAGTTGGCCCATCGTGACAAATTCACCAGGAATTTATCACGATGGTTTCCAGGGGGAACCGCGTGGAGGTCAACCTGACATGGTACATTGCTAGCAATGGGGTTATTAGTCCATATTACTAACAATCCCATTTCCCCCACAGACAGACAGTTACTTTCGCATTTATAATATTACTAAGGAAGGATTTTATGTACATGCTCCCATTGTGCGGAAACTATATCTTTCACATCGATAGAAAATATCAAAATATGAAGATATGAATATGGGATGCTATCGTTGATTTCTGTTTGTTAAAGTAATTTATTTATTTACGCCATTTTTTAATTATTTACTCATGCTTGGACACTGCAAATTGAATAAACACATGGCAAAATTAGGCCTCAACTTAACAATAATTTACAGATTTTGCCAAGCGGAAATATCGGAATCGGAAAATATCATTCATGTCCCTCACGGGTCAGTTAGTGTTATATACCAATGTATAGTCACACTAATAAAATATAATAACTAGGCACGACAAAAATCTGCAGATTCTGCCAAGCGGAAGAGGCAACGCCACTACACATCCTATGTGGTTGTAGCCCACTCATGCATAAACGAAATATCTCCTTTGGAAAGTTTACACTCTATCCCGAGGAGATAAAAACTATTGCTCCTAAGAATATCCTTCAATTCTTGTCCCTGACGGGTCTAGGTAGCTTTGAAAATGGGTGGACACAATAGATCTATATATGTCGCAGGGATACAGGTCTTAGAACCTGATAATAGCCCAAAACCCTCAATAAAAAAAATGCCATTTTTCAGGTAATTTTTTTAAATAACTTTTTTTTTAATTTTTTTTTATAACTTCAACGCACAAAATATCAAGGTAAAAGTACATATGGCGGACTTAATGCCTGTACTATCGTATAAGTATCCTGGGTTAGCTTCCACAGTTTATAAGAATTGATAAGAAACTCAATAATTACATTTTGTACCGTTTTTTTCTTGCTTATGTAGTAATTACGGTTATTATTGGTTTTAGAGCATTGACGGCCTTGGTGGTACAGCGGTTTAGCACCCCGTCTTACTTCCGATCGTCGCCGGTACGATTCCGCGCAACGTCAAATATTTGTATCCACGAGTATAATTGTTTGTATTGCTCTAGGTGTTTTCCATGTATAATATATTAAAATTATTTCATTAATAATTTATTTACGAAAAAAATATCTAACTATTTTTTTTATTTATTTAATAAAGATAGTTGTACAGTTGTTTTTATACATTAACTCGTCAAACTGTAGAACAGTTTGTTGGCAAGATATCGCTCAGTTTTTATTAAATACTATTCTTCCCATAAACTTGTATCCACATAAATACACGTTTTTACAGATAATTACATACAATTACAATTTTTGTTTTTAAAGTTTATCTAAAAATGCTCTTTTTAATTTTGATTTCAGTACTGGTCTACTTAAATTAGAAACATTTATATCAGTTGTCTAGTACCCATAACACAAGCCCTGCTTAGCTTGGGACTAGATGGCGTTGTGTGAATTGTCAAGGGGTATTTATTATGTATGTATTTATTTATATCAGTTGTCTAGTACCCATAACATAAGCCCTGTTTACTTTGGGACTAGATGGCGCTGTGTGATAGTATTATTAATTTCTCTTCTTTCTTCTTCTTTCTTTTTCTCTTACTTATTAGCCCGATTCTATATAGTTACCTTTAAAGTCTATACTCGTAAGTCTGTGTAGCAAACTACTAAGCCATAATGGTTTAGATGATATTGGGATTAGATGACGCTGTGTAAATGACCTGAGATATTATTATTATTGACTGTTAACTGTTTTTATTTAATAACTAGCAGAATACTCGACTTCTTCCGCGTGAAATTTAACTTTATTTTTCTAAAATTTTATTTTAGAAGAATAAAGTTAAAGTAGCCTAATTTACTCCTCATTACATTAGTTACCTGCCAAAAAAAGTCCCGTCAAAATCGGTCCAGCCATTTCAGAGAGATATATATATATAAAATTCTCGTGTCACAGTTTTCGTTCCCATACTCCTCCGAAACGGCTTGACCGATTCTCATGAAATTTTGTGAGCGTATTGAGTAGGTCTGAGAATCGGCCAACATCTATTTTTCATCCCCCTAAATGTTTTTTTTTTTTTTTTTTTTTTTTTTTTAGACATATTTTTTAGTTTCTATTTTTTTATGATACAACATAAAAAATTACATATAATCCTAAATTTTCATCCTTCTATCATCAACCCTTATTTTTTTATAGCGTTATTAATTTATATGGCAAGGCGTTTGCCGGGACAGCTAGTATATATATATGATTATAGAAAAGACGTACCTGTAGTTAAAGCTTATCACAATAACCCGCTTGCCGACCAAGTATTCAGGACCATGCAGGTCGCTATCACCAGACCCAAACGCGAATCCTCCTCCATGGATGAACACCACCACAGGCAGTCCACTCTCTGTGACGTTCTCGTCAGAATCGATGCCAGCCTGATGCGGAGACTCCAAACTGGTCATCTGTTTCTGGTAGACCGGCAAGGCGTCGAGTGGTACATGAATGTTCGCGTGGATACAGGATTCGCTCATGCCCCTCGGTTGCATTATCCGTCCGTACAACACGTCGCGTTGTGGACAGATTGGGCCTTCAACTGTCGCGTCGTACCAGTAACTCCATGGCTCCAACGGTTCCAGCTCCTGGAATATTGGACGAATATCATTATTGCCCTGTCTTTACCATTATTTGGGGTAGGCGCAATATGTTTTCTTCCGTATGAATCTTATCAGCTGTCATATCAAAACTTTCTCTCCTTATCATCTTCACACAATCCGTCCATCTTTTTTGGTCGTTCTTTCCATTTAAGCTTAACTTTACAACTTCACTGAACGATAGTAGGCGAGTGCAGCGCTCCAATCCTACAGAAGCTTATGGAGCGGCTTAAGACCAACTCCTGCCTGACCTGGGTTCGAACCTTGGCTCAGGCCGTCCTAATTCCGCGTTTGTATTGGTCGGGAGATCAACCAAAGCAGTAATCTGTATATTATTAGTATATAGATAGATACCTTAAACCTAAGTTCCCCTATAGGCTGCTTTGCATAGGGCACCCCACGGAAGCTGGCATACTCGAGTCCATCATCAGTCACCCGCCGGGCCCCACACACCCAGCCTGCCTCTGTGCACGCGCGCACAGAACATCTTCCCAACAACTCAGGTACTCCAAGAGTTGAACTTGCTGTAACAGACATTGCGAGAATTGACACAAATATTTCATCATTCATCATTGCCTTGCCTTTATCCCATTATTTGGGGTCGGCGCAGTATGTCATTCTCTTCCACTGCTCTCTATCGGTCGTCATATCTAAACATACTCTTCTTTTATTCATATCATCTTTCACACAATCCATCCATCTTTTCTTAGGGCGTCCCCTCCCTTTACATCCATCCACATTCATATTATACACTTTCCATAAGACATGGTCCTCATACCTCCGCATAACATGCCCATACCAGCTCAATCTGTTACCTCGCAACTTTTCTATAACCGGCGCAACTTTCAAACTTCCTCGTATATAGAGATTCCTTACTCTGTCATTCCTGGTAACCCCACACATCCATCTAAACATTCGCATTTCTGCCACATGCACACACCTTTCCTCCATCCCCTTTTCCCAACATTCAGATCCATACAAAATGACAGTTCTTATGATAGATTTATAAACTTTACCCTTTAGTTTCAAGGGCATTCGGGGGTCGCATATTGTTCCCGAGACTTCGAATTATTATTTTGTAAATCCGGACTGCCCGGACTAGATAGGGTCTAGGGCCAATAAAATAACTAAGTATTTTGAGAGGCAGCAAAATATTTGTAGTAACAAAATGCACTTATAATATCGTCATATTTTGTTATATTACTTTTTCTTTTAATTATCTATCAAAATCAACATCAATATTGAGAAAATATGAAAGTGGCACCGGTGTCAGAGAGGTTGAAGAGTAATCGTCTATCGTGGTATGGACATGTAATGCGTAGAAATGAAGATCATATCCTAAGGAAGGCGTTACATATGAATGTGGATGGTTATAAAAGCAAAGGAAGACCGAAAAAGAGATGGATGGACTGTGTGAAAGATGATATGGTAAGAAAGGAAGTAAATAACGAGATGACTGCGAACAGAGATGAATGGAAGAGAAAAACATATTACGACGACCACAAATGAATGGGATAAGGAAGAAGCAGATGATGATCATCAACATCAATATTGGTAGTACATAAAACGAAATTCATACTTATAAGAGCAGAAGAGTAAATAATTTGCTTATCAAATTATTTGGGATTACAAATAAATCTAATTACATTTTTACATAAATTAAAAAATAAAACTCAGTAGAATTCTTGCGCATGTTATGTGGAGAAGCAAGGACAATGTCTTAAAGAAAATATATAACACGAACTGTCCACGTATATATATACGAATAGCCATCACGTTATTATGTAACGCCTGTGATAACTCATGAGTTATAACAAAGGTCATGCCTCGTAGAAGTGAATAAACAAAAAATATTAAGGGTATATTTTTTATTATAATAGTAAAAAGTCAAAGAAAGCATAAAATAGCAGAGCCACAGCAATGCAAAATGGCTCATAGCTCAGTGCGAAGAATCACACAACATTAAGCGGGTTCGTATACTTTTATTTAAAGTATATGATGGTCAAGTTGAATTCCTAAGTGACTCATTTAGGTCATATAAGTCCAGACTTAATATGAAACTTGGCATTGCAATGCTTCGTTAATATAGTGATACAAGCTTGAGCTATCGTTACTCGAGAATAAAATTCATAACGCTGATAATATTATCTGATTGCTCTAAGAATGAGTGCGTAGCGGTTTCTATGTTGATTATCGCAAGCCTCTTACTTCTTATTGTGTAATTATTTATATAATCTGCTCTTATCACTACGACTGATTTAATATTATTGTATATTTATATTTGACCCAAAAAATTAGTGCTGGTTGGTAGTTTGTATTCACACGTTTCGACTTGTAAATGTAAACTTACAAGGATTATTTAAAAGAGCAACACAACACAGAAGTTTCTTGCTCGTTCTTCTTGTGATGAGACAGCTTTCCGAATGAGTGGTAGATAAAAAACAAATTGTTATGACTATTCAAAAGTGCTTAAATTAAGTTTATTTGAATAAATGATTTTCTATTCTATTAAAATTTTATTATGTGGCATCAAAAATACATACAACTCTAAATTTTCACCCTTCTATTTTTTAATAGCGATTTTAATTTTTATGGCAAAACAACGTTTGCCAGATCAGCTAGTATGTTCTATAAAGGCCGAGAAAATGGCTTTTGTATTGTTACGTCAGCGCAAAAGATCTTCCAAATGACTAGTCATAAATGTATTGATCTGTGGCTAGACTGACAATTATAGTCACGTATTCCATTGATAAAAAAATTAGTTATCGGCAAAATGTGCCGCCGTCTAGCTCGTATCACTGTGATACTGTACTGTACAAATTAATATAATATAATTAATGTGAAGAATCCTGTACATTAACAATTTATAAACAAGTAGTGTCACGTAATTTGTATGCATAAAACTAGCGACACCACGACATTCATTCCGTCTCAAATTTAATATATCAAAGGTTTTTGAAGTTTGAACACAGTAAATTTCTGAACGATGAAAATATAATTGTTGTTTTTACTATTTTACATGCAATTTCTTCACATTTTATCACAGTAGAAATAATCTTTATTCAAATAAACTTAATATAAGCACTTATGAATAGTCAGGTTTTTTGATTCTACCGCTTATTCGGAATGGCGTTTCATCACAAGAAGAATAAAACTTGTATGTTGCTCTTTTAAATAAATATTGATTTACTTATATTTAATTAACAACAAGGATTAGGCATGCGACAATCAACATAGAAACCGCTACGCACTTAATCTCTGTTCAATCAGATAACATTGTCAGCGTTATGAATTTTAAGTTAGATATTTTCTACAAAAACATTATTATCATTTATAAATTCTTCAATTTTAATCTTTTAATTTTTAATGTTTTTTTTACAAAGAAAATATTTTATGACACATTTGAATTTTTTTTCTGGCAAATTGACTACAGACTCTAGGATTTTGTTGTAAAACCTTACGCAATTTCCATAAAACGAATTACTAACTTTCGTCAAACGGCACTTAGGTAAAACTAGTTTGTTGACATTACGTAAGCTTTTATTAGTGTAATCACCTACTTTTTTTAAATTGTTAATATTTTTCTGGCATAATATTTTCGTAGATGTATTGAGAAGCAACGGTGAGGATATTTGATTCTTTAAAACATTCACGCAAAGACTCCTTTGAACCCATAACGTAAATGGAGCGGATGATCCTCTTTTGCAAAATAAATACTGTATTTATATCAGCTTCTTTGCCCCATAATAAAATTTTTAACCACATAATAAAACAGTCTTAACCTTCCCTGGACTTTCACGAATATTTCAAGACTAAAATTAGCCAAATCGCTTCAGCCATCAGAACCGTGAAACAAATTAATAAAAAATATTATCAATATCTCGCAATTGGCCATTTAAAGAATTTTTTGATTTAAAGAAAAACACAACTGTATACTCTTTTATCATAAAATAGTGTCAAAAACAATATTTTCGCGAAACATCAACGACCGAAGAAAATGCAAGTGAAATGAAAAGATGGCGACTGCGGTTTGTTTGTCAGTGTCATTAGAATTTAACGAAATGCTCCATAATCAGAATTTTGCGGATATATGTTGTCGACTCGAAATCAATATTTTTTTATGTTCTGTTATTCACATAAGGTTGTTTCGTTCGAGTCTACCGTACTCCTTGACAAAATTATTAATATAGACATGCACGCGTGCATATAAATATGATCATTGGGCATATCATCTCATTAGATGCACGCGTGTTCTAAATATAAACAAGTCGAGATTTGTACTGACCCAAACAACATCGAGATAGGTAAGGTCGAGGCTGCTTACTGCCGGTTTCTGAAGTTTTTTTCCAGACTACGCTAATGCTGTTGTCCGCAGCTGGCCTTTACAGCTTCACCGGACGATAGGGGGCGAGTGCAGATGTCACTACAAACCCGCGGAAGGACTTATGGAGCGGCTGAAGGCCAACTCCCGCCTAACGGATACGACTTTAGTCTGAGGGCACCACTAGGGGTTCGAACCTCGGCTTGAATTGGATGAGGGATCGATCGGAGGGGATATGTTGTTGTTAATAGGCCACGAAATCTTACACTTTAGACTAATATTATAAACGCGAAAGTTCACGATTTAAACAATCAAAGAATTTGTTTGACGTTCCCGGTGGCTAGAACACCGCTTTAGTTCCGATAGTCGCTGGTTCGATTCCTCGCACAGTACACAAATCTGTATTAATGAGTGCATGCATCTATACATATAAATAAAATTGGAGTGTCTGTTTGTAATATTGAAATAACAGGTTTTTACTACATGCATATGAATATAAATACCGGACATACGCCAAAATCATATTTTTTACAATATTTGTCTGTCAGTCGTGTTCCGGCTACTCTCTAAAATGGCTGCACCGATTTTGACGGGACGTTTTTTGGCAGGTAACTGATGTAATAACTTAGGCTACTTTTATTTAAAAAAATAAAAGTACCACGCGGACGAAGTCGCGAGAACAGCTAGTTGTAAATAAAATTTCATACGTTTAAAACATTCTTCCGCTGTAGGCAATATGATTTCTCTACACGCGAATTTTTAAGCTAGATTCATTTCGACATTAGCGATTATTTTGCGCTGACTTTTGTGTGGATAAGAATAGATTATTTTTGCACATTTTTTATCAAAGTGCGTGAGCTCTTATCTAAATCTTTATAAATTACCATATATGTATAAAATACACGTGTACAGAACTCGTATTTTTTTGTCTCTACACCTTTATTGTAACGATACATGTGTCTTTTATTATATTGTTTGTGCTTCTTCTTTACTGTACGTTGCAAATAAAGTATATTCTATCTATCTATCTATCTATCTATCTTTATTACACCTACAACTTGTTCTAAGCTGTTTGCAAGTTGCTAATTTTTAGGTACTAAAAAAACATTATACGTTTCTCAAAAGGAGATTCATAATTTGTCATAGTTTCGTGTGTCATTCTGAATTTATTTGTATTTTTTATTTGGTGACTTTCTTATTTTCTTTCTTTTTTTTCTTCGATGACCTCGGTGGTCTAGCGGTTAAGCACACCGCTTTGCGACCGATGGTCGCGGGTTCGATTCCTCGCACGGCACAAACATTTGTATTTATGAATATGATTGTTTGTATCGGTCTGGGTGTTTTCTATGTATAATATGTATGTATTTACAAAAAAAAATATATATCTATGTATATGTATCAGGTATCTAGTACCCATAACACAAGCTTTAGCTAGCTTAACTTGGGTCTAGATGGCGCTGTGTGAGTTGTCCTGAGATTATTATTATTATTTCTTGTTAAATTAGTAAAATGCTTGTTTTTTAATGAATATTTATGGATTGGCACACTAAATGTTTATTATAAAAAAAACTTTTTGTTTTATTCAACAAAATTTAATAGTACATATTGTTTATGTGTACAGGAATATTTCTTTTTGTTTGATACTATTTTCGTGTTTTTATTTAATGAATATTTATTAATGACTAATAATACATTTTTAATGACTGTGTATTATTACACAGTAAACAAGTACAACATTTATTAGAAAAGAATACGAGCTGAGTTTCTTGTCAGTTCTTCTCATCTCGAAATTATTCCGAACTCACGATAAATTTGGCATATCAAGAGTCTGTAATAGATCTACATGAATACAGATATTTTAATTTTGATTGTTTTTTTTTTTATTTTAAAAATAATGCTCAAATTATTCGTTTCTAAAATATTTTTTTTTAATTAATATTTTATAAAAATCATTACAATATTTGAATAAATTTTCATAGTCACCGTTAAAACAGTTTTAGTTTTCTTATTAATTAAATATTTCAGTAGTATATATATAGTATTTTTTTTTATTTCATTTAGATATATAGTAAAAGTACGTCCATATACACTCAGACCATAACTAATCAGTGAATCTGGTAGTGCGTAGTATAAAATGTATAAGATACGCTTGTTCAACACTTTCTTTAATTGATAAAATTTCCCTAAAATATTCCTAAGTTTCATACACTATTAATACGAGATTTCCAACTAAAGTTGTAAAAATATCATCATGTTTGGTTTGTCCAAACTTATTTGATACTATTCCCGGGTTCTTATTTCATTATTATTTTAAAAAATACTGTTCCGCAAAAAAAAAAAATATTAAAAAAATATATATTGATTTTTCGTGTGTACCCCAAAATTTGCAACTTTACTTCCGCATTACATTCCATAAATATTTTTAGAATGTTTTCCTTTTTTATTAATATGTTATATTATAGGAATGAATGATACAGTTTATTGATACACAAATTAGTTTCCTTACCGTAAGCAAGCACTGACAATAATACAACCAGACACATGTCACTATAGCTGCGTGCACGACACGACTGCTCGTTATATGATCGGATCCATCTTATATACTAACTGATACGGAGCTGCGGACTGTTGCGATGTGAGACAGTGCCCGTATCACGACCCCACGGTGCAGGGGTGGTTATATACCAGTCATGGGTTGACACAATGCCATAACAAAAGCCCCAGACTCGCGACAAGGAAGTGTCACGTGTGCGTCCACATTTTGGTATCCTGAGTCATCGTTGTATAGGATACCGGTGTAATAACCAAAGGGGGGACCATAGGGGCTGGTGACCCAGTTGTTAGTGTATAGCATTAATAATAATAATAATGATTTTTATTTCAGACAACATGATCCATTGTGTTAGTAATAGCTTAATGACATAACTTATCCTATGTTAGTAATAAAATATATAATAAAATAAAAATGTAACTTTTAACATATTACCTGTCCCACCCAGTGTCTTAGAATGGGACAGTCTACTTTACAAGCAATTGTCTTCAGGACACTGTTGGAACTCGCCCGCACTCTGCCTAATAGGGACGTTATTCGCTTCCGCCGCGCCGTATGGCATAGAAATCGTCTGTGCGCTCTTGCGCATACATATGTGACGCGCTGCAGTGGCGGGGCAGCCCCAACAGTGCCCGAAAGGCATTGTTATATTGAACGCGAAGAGCATTGTAGGTTTTTTTGAGTATAGTTGACCCACAAGCAGCCAGTGTAGAAAACCTGACAAAATGCCTTAAAAAGTGTTTTTTGACTAGTTTTGTACACCGGGCAAACCTGCGTGCCAACATATTACTTCTAACTGCCAATGCTCTTCTTTCACGTTCTATGTCCATATCTTTTAATGTGGATGTAACAATCATCATCATCATCATCATCGCAGCCCGGAAGACGTCCACTGCTGGACATAGGCCTCCCCCAAAGATCTCCACGACGATCGGTCCTGCGCTGCTCGCATCCAATGCCTTCCAGCGATCTTGACCAGATCGTCGGTCCACCTTGCTGGAGGCCTTCCCACGCTGCGTCTTCCGGTCCGTGGTCGCCACGGATGTAACAATATGTCCAAGATATTTAAAATTTGAAACAAGGTTCAATATATTCCCATTGAGTGATATAGGAGGCACATAATCCGTATTAGGTCGGAATTGACGCGTTCGTGTCGGGAATTTTTGGAGACAATTTGATAATAATGATGATGATGATGATGATGATGATGTTATCACGGCAGATTTCGGCCACGGCGACTATCTTCAATTCCGATTTTTTTTTATTAATAATGGGATTGCGGTTGGTCTTACCTCATCTGATGGTAAATGACGGCAAGACCTAGGATGAGATCAGTGAGAGAGCCCTAAGATATCTTTTCTTCGCCATAGTTCTTTCTATTCTTTTTTATTCACCATAGACTTGAAGAATCCGGGGTTGTATTTCTCCGGGAACACGAAAGCTGGAAGTGCATTCCACTCTCTGGCAGTTGTCGTTGATGTGCTCGCATGTCACTTATGTAGCCTATTTTGTGTGTAAAAATCCTCGCACATTGCGCACAGAGCACACCGACGACCTCGACGACGACCTCGGTGGTCTAGCGGTCTAGCACACCGCTTTACGACCGATGGTCACGGGTTCGATTCCTCGCACGGTACAAACATTTGTATTCATGAGTATGATTGTTTGTATCGGTCTGGGTGTTTTCTATGTATAATATGTATGTATTTATAAAAATAATATCTATGTATTTGTATCAGTTATCTAGTACCCATAACACAAGCTTTAGCTAGCTTAACTTGGGTCTAGATGGCGCTGTTTGAATTGTCCAAAAAAGAAAACAAAACAAACAAACACTGCTCATATAATTATAATATAATATAATAATATCACTGGACAATTCGCACAACGCCACCTAGTCCCAAACTAGCAGAACTTGTGTTATGGGTACTAGGCATGTATAGAATAGAATAGAATAGAATAGAAAATCATTTATTCAAATAAACTTACATTGAACACATTTTTTTTTTTTTTTAATCTACCGCTCATTCGGAATGCTGTCCCATCACAAGAAGAACAAGCAAGAAACTTGTGTGTTGCTCTTTTAAATAATTTATTCTTACTTACAATTTAAGTTTAAGTGTGTGAATACAAACCACCGATTAGCACTAATTCAATGAAATAATAAAATAGAAAAAACATTCAATATACAACAACTGGTTAAACAATTAATAAGAGAAAATAAGTCATAGTGATTAGAGGAGACCAGTCCACACAAGCAGCACCCGTTCACGAGCATGACGGATGAGCCAGCCACCACTGCGCTCGTATGTAAATACACATGTACTCGCCACTAACAACTTATCTCTGCTCTACTCATGGTTGCCTGGTAGAAAATGCCATTAGGTGTTAAGTCCGCCATATGTACTTTTTACTTATGTACATTAAAGTTATTTAAATAAAAAAATATGTATACATAATATAGAAATACTAACTTAAAATGAATTATTAACTTTGTTTAGACGGCATTTAGGTAAAATTAACTTATTTTTATTGCGTAAGTTTCTACTTGTACAGTCTTTAAGTTTCTTGAAACTATCTAAGTTTTTCCTTGTATACATAATATTTTCATAAATGTACTGTGAGGCAACGGTGAGGATATTTGATTCTTTAAGGCATTGGCGTAATGACAATGATATAATTAGATAACATTCATACCGATACAAATAATCATGAATACATATGTTTGTACTGTGCTAGGAATCGGACCCGCGACCATCGAAAGTACAGCGGTGTTAAATCACTAAAACACCGAGGCTGTCGTTACACGAATTTATGATAAGCTATCTGAGATCTTCATTATCATCCCATCATCATCATCCACTAGTCTCCAACTAGCATATCTATACATATAAATAAAATTGGAATGTCTGTTTGTAGTATTGAAATAACCATTTTTTACTACATGCCTATGAATATAAATACGGTACATACACCAGAATAACATGTTTTACAATTTTGTCTGTCTGCCAGTTTGTTCCGGCTGATCTCCGAAATGGCTGAACCGATTTTGATGGGACTTTTATTGGCAGTTAACTGATGTAATAAGGAGTATAATAGGAGTAACTTATGCTACTTTTATTTTAGAAAAATGAAGTTAAATTCCACGCAGACGAAGATGCGTCTACAACTAGTATTAGATAAAACATGAAATTTATGAAAAATAAAGTGATTTATTTTCTGTTACAGGTAAGGGGAAGGATTTTATAACATTATATCTAACATAAACGTCAGTGGTGAGTCTTTTTCTAGCTAGTCGCTAATTAATCGCTAGCCCTAATACCTACATGTTTTAATGCAATCTAAATATATATAACTCAAAGGTGACTATTATGACGTAAAGGATTTTTATAAATTCCACCCCTAAGGGGTAAATTAAGGCGAGCGAAGCCGCGGGCAAGTGCTAGTATAATATAAATGGAAACATATAGTATAACATAAAGGTCCAATTACACAGATTAAAAGTTTCGCAGGAGTTCTTGCATAGTTCAGCCTCCAAGCAGCTTGTTTGTAAGCTGTGTCAGTTGTAGAGTGCGGATTAGACAATGAAATTACAGGATAAAAAACACGACAATATTCATAATATTAATACTAGATTTAAAGACAAACTTGCTGTCCCCAAGTATCGTTTAGAAAAAGTCAAAGTCAATTTACAATAAGATACCAAAGGATATATTGGAATTACCCTTAAATAAATTCAAAACATCTGTTAAATTATATTTGCTGAGCAAGGCCTATTACTCACTAAACGATTACTTGAATGACGAAGTCAATATGTCTTTTATGGGAATAGGTATAAAAATTTAATTTAAAAACGATTACTAGAATGACGAGCGTGCATGGCAATAGTTTTCATGTTCGGGATTTTGTAATGTTAGACATAGACACCTATATATTGTAAATAACCTGGCTTTTAAAAAAAAGTAATTCAATTGAGTTTCTTGCCAGTTCTTCTCAATTGGATCTATATACCGAACTGGACGGTAGGGAAAAAAATGTAATGTAAAAACTTGACATTCATAAGCGCCTAAAATGTCCTACATGAATAAATGATTTTTGAATTTGCATTTGACATCTTAGCCCTTTGAAATAGCAACACATGAGTGGTAGCACGTCTGCCATATGATGACGTGATATCCGTTTTTTTCGGACTACTCTAATGCTGATGTCCTCAGCTGGCCTTTACAGCTTCACCGGACCATAAGGGGCGGGTGCAGATGACACTACAAACCTAAAGAAGGACTTATGGAGCGGCTGAAGGCCAACTCCCGCTTACGATACGATTTTGGTCTCAGGACAGCGCTACGGATTCGAACCTCGGCACAGGTTGTCGTAATTTCGATCCCCGTTTGAATTGGACGGGGATCGATCGAAGGAGTGTGATGTCATTAGTGCTGTTCATATATTTATAGGGGCATATTTCGGATGAAAAATGAGATAGGGTAATAAAAATACGTAACGTCTTAGTCCTCCAGAATAACAACTCATATAACATATCACTCATGTACGACAAAAATCTGCAGATTTTACCAAGCTGAAGAGGAAATCCCACTACACATCCTATGTGGTTGTAGCCCACTAATGCATAAACGTAATATCTCCATTGGAAAGTTTACACTCTATCCTGAGGAAATAAAACCATCGCTCCTAAGAATATTCCTCAATTCTTGTCCCTGATGGGTCTAGGTAACGAACTCTGAAAAAGGGCGAGCACAATAGATCTATGTAGGTCGCAGTGCTACAGGTGCTACCCTAAAAATAACCCTAACAACCCAATAAAAAAACATATCACTCGCTTTACTTGAAGACGTTAAGCTTGAAGTGCTATTCTTGTCTATATGCGACTGTTACCACCTACCATCGTGTGGATAATGAATTTGTTTGCCGTTCTAGAAAAACAAGCTATTATTCTAAATTTGAGCAAACGTCACAAACAAAAATAGTGATTATATA